GTTCTTTGACTCCGGCAGAGTTGTGTTCAAAGGGTACTCTGTCTGTGCACTTGTTTCATGCTAAGTCTGTTGTGTTGGGGGACAAGGTCAATAGTTGACAGAGACACACTGTTGTTTCCATCAAAGTTGACATCTTCTTCAGTACCTTTCTGCTGGATTTCATGGAGTCAGATGACATTATTTTGAAGGACCATGTCAACAATGAGTGCTTCTTGTTGTTGGGAGAAAAGAGCAGTCCTTCCACCCTCATTTGGTCATCTTTCAATTCTACAGAGAGGAAAATGCACTTACAAACATATACAGCCAGTACCACAGTACTCACACAGTACTAGTATTCTGTAGGTCAAATGTACAACAAGAAACAACTACCTGCTCTCTTCTCTGAATGTCATGATAATGATGATGGCCACAAACAATTTGCTCAAACTGGGTTGGACTCTTTGTCCTGCTTCTCTCACCATCATCCCATGAAGGAGGACAATCAGTAATGATTGTGCTTGGTCTTCCTTGTCCCCCTTCTAACCCTAACCTCTCATACAAACTATTCTGCCTCTCTGTATGTTCCATTGTAGATGGAGGCACTTGAACCACCTGTGCTCTCTGAACTGACTTTTTGCTCCCAAATTGGTCTGATCATATCATTAGAAACATGCATGTTCAGTTTTGAGGTGTGTGTAAAAGATAACAGCTGTGTTGGAGTTGTGTTCACATGTTGCTGCCAGTGATTACAATTTTACAACACCGCTTTTAGTTCTGGCTTCACATGGGGATTCCAGTGTAAATCAGCAGGCTCTTACTGCAAAGATTTGATAGTCTGAGCCCCCCAGCAACACTTAATACATAACATATAAGTTTTCATAGATGGAAATGGTGTTCTGGTGCACAAGTATATATTAATTCCTGTATTGTTCAACAAACAGTCATAAAATTGGGATCACAGACATGCAAATTTTTTGAGGGTTTATCGAATATTGACATTAACCTGGATTTATTTATTTATTTTATATGCAAAACGCTCAAAACTCTACTAGAAGGGTATCCAGTGGTCACTTTCTCATGTTTTATATGCAAAAAAGGAAATAGGCAGGGGTGTCTTTTCATAGGTTTTCCACTGGAGGGGCACCAGCGAAGACTTTTTATCATACTTGACCAGCTCCAGGATCATCCAAAGGGTACTTTTGCAGCATTTTTTTGGACATGGGGGGCATCAGGGGGGCAAATGTCCCAGTTGTCCCCCATCTAAGTACGCCACAGCTCATAACAATCAGTTGAATTCTTAATTTTATTTATATCAGGATATTTCACATGATAATCTAACTAATGATGAGACAAACACTCAAGGGAAATTATTTTTTTCAGTTTATGGTTGTATATCATAAAGAATGGTTTAAACCTGGTATTGTGAAAAGTGACCTCAGATAACTTCTGTGAGCTAAGAGTACTTGTACACCGTCACTTGTACCACATCTAATTCATATTGTTTTTAATACACTTTGGGACATCTGTTGTATTTAATGTTCCTCTTCACACTTGGTTGAACCAACATAGCACACAACTACTGTTTACAATCAAAGTGGAGGTCTGTTGAGAAACACAGGCTCAGGCTTTTTTTTCAAGTTGAAAAATATCCTTTATTGGTGGTCTAGGCTTGCTACATTATTTGCAGCTGACATTTCTTGTAGATTAGTGTCAAACTAAGAGTGATCAGCCTCAACTAGAAGACAAATGCTGCCCTCTTGTGGCCAAAACTGTTAAAGTTTTGTTTAAATAAGCTGTCAAGGAGCCCAAAGGGATGATTGTGCTGCTGGTTTTACTAACTTTTTCATTTATTAAAGGAGTCATTTTTTGTGGATGTAGGTGGTGGCTGTAGGTGTGGAGAGATACATAAACATTCACCCAGTTTAGTAGCTGTGAGCACAGCTGACTTGTTGGCTATATTCAGCAACAAATTGGATTTGCATTGAGCCTGACCCGAGGCCAAACTACAGGTTCCTTGGTGAGTTTACCAGGTCATTGACCGGAGGTGTTAGTGCGAAAGCCTCTCACGTATAAACCAGTGAGCCAGAAGCCTTTTAAAGGTATAGCAGGCTGCAAGTGTGTTTAACAGCAGTGGGGTCGGCTTAGGGTAAACTTGCTGTAGTTTAAGTTGCTGTAATGAATCAGAATGTAATGTTGCAATGCCAGAGATGTGCATCAGCAGAGATAGACTCTACACAGATAAAGCAAACTGTAGTTTGTGTGATAATATATTTTAGAAATTTCATGTAGTAATGAATTGTGGAGGATGTAGCAAATATGTTTAATCTCCTGTGTGCACTTCTTATTCAGAGACTACAAATGCAGCATAGGTGCAGGGCATGCATGAGGCATATGCACGTGCAGCAGCATCCCACAGTAAACTGTGTTTGCAAAGAATGACATCACTGAAACTGGATGCCTCACTTAAAGCAATTATACCTGACATGCTCTCCTTCTTCTCCCCCTCAGTCTCTCTCTAGTTTCATAAAAAGCTAATTGTTGTTGGAGCAACACAGAGGTTGTAAAACATCTTTTTAAAGAGGACACCATGTGACACAAAGCAGCACAAACAGTAATGTAGCTCATGGTTCAGTTATTTGAAGACCTTCTGTGCATTAAGTGTAGCACCTGCAGGTGTTTAAAGCATTAAGAGTGTTTACATACTTGTTAAATTTAATGCTGTATTTGTTTTGCCGTTTAATTGTAATAACGTACTTAACGCTCACAATCAGCCCAAAGGTTCATGTTTGCTTTCTAGGAATAACTTCAGTTTTGCACTGATGAACACACTGTGCATTTATTTCTTATATGATTAGAAGATGTGGTTAAAAACATTCAGATACAAACATGTATGTATTCTTGTATTTATTTGATGAAACTGCAGTGATGATATGATGAAAACATCTTCAGAATTGCATCACCGAAAAGGCAAATAAATGCATTTGTAAGTGCAAATATAAAGTACTCGTCTTTTACTTTACTGCTACTATTTACACAAGAAGAATGACATTTTTCAGTCCTGATACAGCGGTTTCCAAAGTTGGGGATTGTGAGACTCTGAAGAGTGAGACTCTGTATGATTTCTCAAGAAGAAAAAAGAAGAATTCAATTATTTTAGACTGCATATTCATTCATGATTATCAAAACATAATCAAAATGAAGTTAGGATTTAAATTAAACCATGCTAAAAAAGTAAAAAGTCAGCAGTTGTCTGTATCTTGTTGCTGCTGCATGACCTCTGTGGAGATTATGACAGATAACCAGGTAAGATAAGCCTGTTAATTTGCACCAGTGCAGGAAACACAGCAACATATGCACACATTGTAGATAGGCTAATTTTCTGCAGACCAGCCAAATCAAGCCTGCAGTGCAGACATGCACCTTTGGCTCTGCATTTGAGATAATTCTGTCACTGCTAATGCCTGAATAGGAGGATTACTTGCCTTTCTCAGTATTTAAATGCTTGGGTGCAGCTGTCTGCAGCTTTGCACCACACAGAGATACGGCAGGGGGTCACAAGTCTTTAGCACAAAATGTATTAATTAAAAACTAGTAAAAACTATAAAAACTAACTTTTAACCAACTTTGATCCTTGTCGGGTAACTGTTGCACTCATAACTATTCCTGAAGTAATATAAACAAAGATTGTGTGTCCATAGGTCGCTCTTTGCTTTGACAGATTATTCAATAAAAACAGAAAAAAGACATTATGTCCATCATGTCTTTGAAAATCTGAAGCTCCAGTGTTGCATATGGTGGCTTAGATTGTTAAAAATACATATGTGTAAAAAAATGTGTCTTTGAACTAATAGGGCAGTATCTCACAACGATTTCTAATAGCTTCTTTAAAATGAGGATCCATCAAACAAACATATACAGTTACTATAACGGCTACAGTGCGTACATTTAAGTACCACCAAGTATATGAATATTGCAGAAGCCTTGAGGTCGGAAGAGTAAAATGCTTCATATTGTGCACATACCATATAAGTGTAATAAGTGTAATATGGTGACAAGCATGTGCAGAAATGTTATCTTGTGGGAACAAGTTCATATTGATGCAAACAAGCTAATATCTCATGCCCACAAGATATTATCTCATGTGCAAGAAAAAAAAAAACACTCCTGCCTGAAATAACCACATAATACTGTGTCCACAAGGGAAATAATTTGTTCCTGCAAGAAAATAATGAGTGCACAACAAAAAAAGTTCCTTGGATTTAAGGAGCTGCTTGGAATACTGAAGATTAGGTCAGCTATATTGAAAAGTAAAACACCAGGTGATGCAAGGGATTAAAGTATTGGGTAACTAGACTGAGTAATACAGCTGTAATTTACCAGAACACTACAATAACCTCTGTGGACTATTATATCTAATAACAGTCTATCTATATCTATTAACATTTAATATAAGCCCTCAGTTACTTATTAAACTACAACATCTTAGTTTAGCACTTAGATTTACTTACCAAATCATTGAATGTGTTGTAGTATGTTTTTTTTTTTTTTTTAATGTTTTTTCTATGCTGTCTGTCTTGTATGCAACTCCTAACAACTTTTGGGCACAGTAACTAGTAGATTATATCCTTTGACTTTTTATGGCTGCAAAAGCCAAAGTGCACCTAAATGTAATATAGTACCACCCATTATAGCCATCGTTTGATATTACAAGTGGTTAAAATGACCATTTCTTCAAGCAGAGTCATTACAAGCACAACACAACTACTTCAACTAACTCAAACGAATACAGACTGTCTAATATGATTACATATGCTGTAATTTCTCTTGACCCAAAGCAGGGGCTGCCTTATTAAATCAGACATAATTTGCAGCCGTTTTCACTCATTCTAAATTACGATCATGCTATGAAAAAAAGAGGAAGTAAACAGACAAGATAATGTGGCTTTAACTCTCAGCCCTCCTCCTCCAGAGAAAAATATGACGTCACTCAGCGGCGCAGCCAATCAGAGGCCGGCTACGCTGAAGCTGGAGGAGCACTCCGTCTGTCCGTGTAGTCAGTATGCATTTGGATGTGTGTATGTGTGTGAGTGTGCGTGTGTGCGTGTCTGAATGCGAACAAGTTGATATTATTTTTAATTTCGCGAACATCTTTGAATTGAGCGTTGGAAGTAACGGTGAGTCAGACCGGTGTGAGGCAAAGAAACAGACTTACAACCAAGTCCGGAGCGTCCAATGAACTCGAAAATAACAAGTTTGCTACGTAGAGCTCCTGAAAAGCAGCCACATCTACGCAGTTTTACGCTTTTCGGGTTGTCTCCTCTGACACTACGCTAACTTGAAGCTGCAGCCTGCATCTGCTCGTCCTGTTGCTGTTTGTATTGTAATTTTTTTAAGTGGTTAGCAGTTTGCAGTCAAGTGATAGTCCGTGTGCCTTTCTTTAAATGTGTACAATCGCCCATGAAGTAACAGTGAACGCCACTTCACACCAAGTAATAAGAATTGTAGGGGATAAGCCATAAACTACGCAGAAAAAATGCTAAAGACGCTCACGAAAAAACTGAGAAGACACTCACTCAATGAGATACATCCTTTCCAACTCAAGGTAAGTTTGACTCATTGAATTGTAATATACTGTAAATATTCTGTCTTGTATAAACAGGTAAGCTGTGTTTGTGTCAGTAAACTCTGCACTTAAATTCCCAGAAGTCCACACTGTAAGAAATGAGCTTGTTTGTGAACAGCGTGCCTTTACTTTTGTCTTGTGACTTGCTCATTTGAAGGCCAGTTGACTGCGCAGCTTACAGACTGTAACCTTGCTTGAACAGGGTTATAGTGAGTTCATTACACTCTCTCTCTTTCTCTTTCTCTTTTCCTTACACACGCACACGCGCAAACACACACAGTTATTACACTATTACTCAGATAGGACGCCACAGTACAGGTTCCCAGCCTGTGGTAGCTATTTCTGATGAACACATTTGGATTTAGAGTGACTTTTACATGTTTTAGTGTGATATATTGTTGTGACACTTGATTCATTACAGTATCTGGCATAATCCAACACAAAAGCTGTTGATCAACAAGATGTTCCCCTATATCTATAGGAGTGTCACATCATTCAAACAAAACACTAACAACATAAAACTCTATTTTGTTATCCAAACTTTTTTTTTCAGCCCAAAAGCTGCACATTATGGTATTGTGAGGCTTCAGGATACTGTAACAGGAAAACTCCACATTGTTTATAATAATACAATACAGAAATAAAACAGTCTGCCACTGGACAAAAAAAAAAAAACACCCACAATTGCACAATAACACATGTCTCTAACCTGTGTCTGCCAGAAAATCTCAGAAATACACATCTTTAACACAATCTAGGCATTTGTTCTGGCTTTCAACCTGTAGCTGTCAGTGTTTTGCAGCATTAAAAAAACTGGCAGAAGTGGAACATAATGTTCAAAAGTATGTTTAAATAGTGCAAAATCACCTGAATGCAAAATATTATTCTGATTTAACCTAAAATGAACCTTCCGGAACTACACATGGTGCAGGTACCCTTCTTGTACGGCCATTTTCTCCAGTATGGACAAAAAAGAAGCGGCTGTTTTGGTTTTTTGATTGAGTGGGTGACTAAGCAAAATGCACCAGTTATAAGACAAATATGAAAGTGCATTAAATAGTTGTATGTCAGGCATAAGAGGAGTTTTTTTGTCCTCAAAGGCCACCATTGGTTCTTAAATGGTAGGGGTGAGCAAGGTAGCATTTGTAATCTAGAGTCTGGTCTCAAGATATCGCTAAGTATTTCTACACACTATACCTTTTGTTGATAGTAAAGTGAGATAAAAACAGCTAAAAACAAGCTAAATAGAATAAGGTTAGTGGTAACTCAGCTAGCAGTCCCTCGAGAAATGCTGCAGTTTCAGGGAAATAAACAAGAGACAAAGATTTGGGGCCAGTATTGAAAAAAATAGTGATTAATTTAACAATCTTGTAATACTGGTGCTGATTAATCCCTCATCATTGTAACTGAGGAAGTGTGATCGTACAAGATTGTTTTATTATCAACTTCAGATTGAGTCACAGAATTAGGGTCACTTTGAGCTTCTGTGCTTCCCTAACTTTTGTCAGCAGCACAACACATGAAGAGGGGCTGCAGGCTGAGCTGCTGTCCACAAAAGCTCTCCCCTTTGAGCTTAAGTTAGCTTCTTTCAGTGTCAGGATTCAGTCAGTAATAACTGCTTGTGAGGGTTTTACTTAGAGCTGCAAGGTTTCTTCCCTTTTACAGAAGAAAAAAGAAAAGTTTAAGTAGTTTTTCATGTAAATCATCTTATTTTCAACGCTATGTGGTGGGTTTTATAAGTCTGTAGGGGGCTGCTAGCTGAGCTAAACTTCTTCCTTTGGAGAAAATGGCTGGAAGGATTTCTTGCAGCTGGGAGTGGGCATATTGTCAAACATACAGTTCACATACAGGCAGAAAGACTTACTAATGTTTGCACTATACCCAACTTGAATATAATGTATGAAGTAAAAGTTATCCAGAAGTTATCTCTGTCATTAAAATTTACTTTTAATGGGGGGTCATTTAATCACCCGGCCAGCTTAAGTTTCATAGTGAAAGTAGCTTTTTGCTGTTGTTGTTGCTGTTGTTATGGTGGAAAATAGTTGGTAATAAAAACTTGTTTAAACTATTTGATCAAACATTACAGCAGTAAACTTTTTAACCAGCTCCAGCATCTACATCTTTACCCTCCAGTCCTCCAAGACAGAGTCCATGCTAAGTGCTTCCCAATTGTTCCCGCCTGCTCACTTTGCCTCCATTCAGGGAGTCGAGGGGTGAATTGTATCCTGTATGGGTCACTAACTCACTCCGTCCACAACAATATTGAGTGTCAACCAACTGCATAGTCGCATGGCAGCCATTTTGTGCCAAATTGCCCCCCCCCCCAAAAAAAAAAAAAAAGGGTCTGAGGAAGCAGGGCAAAGTGTGCCATCCCTGTTGTCTGCTTAGTTGCTTTGTTTGTGTCTCTGCTCATTGGTGTGGTTCCTTCTGCTCTATGTGGTTAGTGTGATGGAAAAATCAATGGTGACTAGTTTGTGTTTGACTGCTTACTCTCTTGACTACTTTCTGTGGTTTGTGCTTTAAACAAACTATCGTGGTGGGACTTTCAGAATGATTCATAATCACATTATCTGATGATCTGCAAAATACAAAACTCATCTGAAATGTTGAAGTGAAGGATTTGTGGTTTTCTCTTTTCATTGCACTTTAGTTCCACTGTGGTGAAACATGTTTTCAAGGGTGTAAATCAGATTTATAGGAAGTGTTGAAAAACTTGAAAATTATTAAAAGAATGCAGATTTATTCATCAGAAAGGCAGATTTGGAAATAAAAACATACTTCAGTGTGACAAAATACAAACCTGTTTGCAAACAAAAGCTGAAATTTGTGGTAACTGTATAACTGTGCAGGAGTCCACCCAGTGGGGTGGACTCCTGCACATCACATTAAACTGTGAAACCCGCTGACCAGATGAGTGTCTCCCATCAATTCTTCTGACTAGCCATAAGTTCTGTCATAGATTTTTATGTCTTTTTTTTATTTTGGCAAGTTTAATTTTGGGCATAAGCCAAAAACTAAAATACACTTAGATACTCAATAATCAAGAAAAAGAACTAAAACTAAAATACAGCTCAAATACAGCGTAGATACTCAATAATCCCAAAAAAGTAAAAAAACTAAAATACAGTTAGATACTCAAATTAAGAAATAGTACAAAAACTAAATTACACTTAGATACTCAATAATCAACAAAAAGAACTAAAACTAAATTACACTTAGATACTCAATAATCAAGAAAAAGAACTAAAACTAAAATACAGCTCAAATACAGCTTAGATACTCAATAATCAAGAAAAGAAAATCAGTGTAAACACAATTGAACAGATAAATTATTAGCCAATCAGAAAAGGGGTTGACTGAGGTTAAAGCTTATTCTGCCCACCTTTTTGGATAATGTACACACCGCATAAGAAACCCTGTACTATATAACATAACAAAAATACAATATGACATTAAAATGTCTTTTAATGTCTTGACAATAAGAAAATAACCAAGACATTCCTATCTAACCAAGTAGTAGGACAAGTCAGCCTGAGGATTAATCATTGTCCCAGATATTGGCCTTCATTTCAAGCTGGCTAGGTGAAATAGCCGGACTGACTATTCTGCTCAGAATTGTCCTGATTTGAACCTGTGAAGTGCACATATTTCTCATAGGACTGGCTGGAGGACATGAAGACATTGGCAGTAGCAAATGTCCTTTGAAAAATTATCATTTAACCACAAGAAATACATTAACTCAGAAGCTGATGGCCACAGGAGCTGAGTTTGCAGCCCTGATGAAGAATATCAGCGAGGCAGAAGGTGTGATGGGTCATTATAAGTGGGTGTATTTGGTGCAGAGTCAGGGGTCTGAAAGCTGTGTGAGCGACAAGACTGGATGGACTCCTGTTTGATCTCACCTACCAAAACAATTGACGAACAAGTTAGCGAGCAGCTAACTGGTTGTATATGCAAAAGTAAAAACAGGGGAACTTAACAGCTCTGCAGCTTTTGTGTGTTTGATAAAACTACTTTGCAACTTTTACTTTCCCCACTTTGTCTTCTGTTCAGGTTTTGGTAACTACCCTGCTTCCTCATCACACTGATACTGTTCCATTTCCAGGTCAAAGCCTGGCATGTGCACTGGGGAGCATGCACAGTACACCATGGCCAGTTTGGGTCCAGTTGAAGCGTATACATGCAGAGAAAATTAATCTCCAGGTTCAGGGTTATCATGTTTGTTAGTCTGATTAATAGGAATTCGATTCAATAATTGTACTGACTGACTCAAACCAGTTTCCAAAGGGATGCCCAGATTTTGCAGCTGTACCAAGTTGCACCCCTAGAAACTGCAGGAAATTTTCAAGAGACACCCTCCTTAGATAGACAGAAGATTTCAAACCGGATAAATGTCCCTTAAATTAAACTGAAAGTAAGTAAATTTAGTCAGTTTGTAACCACTTCTTTGTTGTTACCTAAGTTTCCCTTTTAGAGATCAATAGAAACTTATCTAACCTTCTCTTTTTCACAAGTCACTCTGATAATATTTGAGTTTGAAGTCTGTTTCTGTGCTCACCGGATCGAGGACTGAGTGGCCTTTGCGGGATCCTGAAAAAGAGGCTGAATGTCTCTTCGGGCCATGTATCCCCAGAGCTTAAACACTGATCATGACTACTTACTGGTGCCACACTGTGGGTCTGATTAACTGCAGTGAGAGAGGAGGACAACCGACCATCACTAACCCTGTGATGAGTGTTTTCAATGAGCGGGGGAATGAAGTGTGACAGTGTCCATGTCAGTGTGTGAGGACAGAGCAAAGCTGATATGTGTGTGAACTGGGCGGTGTGTGTACGCTGTGACATTGCCATTGATCCAGCTTAGCAAGCTGCTCAGCGATGCAGGGGACTGACAAGGATTTCATTCAAGTGTTCTTGACACACAAACACACAAGTCTTTGTCTGTCTTTGTATGTTTCCACAAAAGCAGTTTTTTATGCTTTATTCGTGCAGTCTCACGTTCTCTTTGAGTCTTTTCTCCTCTGAATGATGAGAAGTAGTTTGAAATGACTGGTGTTAGACAATAATAGACAAAATGTTTATTATTAGGCTGTGCATTTTCCTCATAAATGATGTTTTCAGCACTTGTGCTGAAGTGAGGGTTCCTGTACACCTGCTATTTTTTCTTCGTTACTTATATTTTAGAGAATTTTTCTAAAATGTGATGCACAGGAGGTAGCAATACATTTAATTTCCTCCATATTTTGTACAGTTGATGTTGTTTGTCAGGAATTGACTTGTAGGGTGTTTTGGAATCAGACATTTTTGCCGTCTTTGTCCCTTTGGTACCAAAGTTGACCCTTGGAGGCTGTAAAGGAGGGACGGGTGCTTGCCTGATTAGCAGTATCATCCATTGTTCACCTAAGCTATAATAGTAATATTAATAGTAATAGAGGTATATCAAAAGAGGCATCAGGAAAAGCAGCCCGCCCCATATTCATAGTAAGCAAATGAACCCCATGCCACATTGAAGATGACCTAAACTTTGAGGGCAGTGTTCAATCATCCTAATAGGCTTTTTTTATTCAAACATCTTTTTCTAAGCTGGCCAAGGCCTTTGGAGAGGTCAAGATTTAAGGCACCACTCCAGTACTGTCTGTATTTTCAAGAGCTGAATGCTACAGTCATGTCATGGACTTTGATTTTCACTGATGCATGCAGTACAAATACAGTACATAGTTCTCTGGTTCTCATCAATCCTCTTTGTGGTCTGGAGTCTTTCTGAGGGACTTGATTGGCTGCGAGAGATGATTGGAAACTAACAAAAAGTTGGGAGGAGCCAAGTTGGGGCGGGCGATTAAACAAAAATATCAAACCGTAATTTTTACGAAATTTGGGATATTTTGTCTGATGATTTATTGTATTGTCTCATCCACCAGGTATCGATTTTTTTTAATTAATTGCTAATATGAAGTCAAATCTATGATAATGGGAAAATAAAATCAGTTGTTGGTCCAGTGAGGTCGGCAGAGATGACTTCATAGAGCAGGAGAAAGTTCGTACAACTTTCAAGGGATCAAATGGGATAGACACGACAAGAGGTTTGCAAGAAGTGCTACATAAAAAAAATACTGAGTAAATAAGGCAAACAAGGGTAAGACAAATACTTAATCAGCTAAACAGTTGAAAAAAATATATTAATCACAATATATGGTATAGCAATACCAACTGTATTGCAAAATGTTTAAAGTCACAATAATATCGAATCATGGCCCAAGTGTCATGAAAATAGTTATAAGGCCACTAGTGATTCCCACCCAAAAAGATGATATTCAAAAAAGAGATGGAAGTCTGTGTAAATAGCTGGAAAGAGATAAAGAACTCATCAGCCAATCAAGGCTGAACATAACCAAAAAGTAGAATAAACCTACACAGGTTAAGTCTGCTGGGGTAGCTAGTTCACCTCTCAATAATCACAATTTTATCCTGCATGATTCATACCTGACAGAAGTAAGATTTTAATTAATTTGCACTTGAATTTATTTTTGTGTGACTAGCATGTGAGAGTTCATTTTTCAAACAGAGTGACACGCTGTCTTTGTCTTTACCACTTTTGCAGTACACTGCATGTGTGTAACCAAACACTGACAGACAAAGAGTCTACTGCTACGTTACTGTTAGTGTGTCACAACACAGTAAGAACTCATAGGGAAACTTGAAACATAAGCCTCGTATTTTCATATACAGATATGAACTACAGATATTTCAGAATTTGCGGTTCATGGACACGTCCTAATCCCAGCTCTGTTATTGTGCTATCACACACCTTTAGAGTTGAGCCTCAGGTGCAGGAGCCTGTGCTGCTCTCCAAACCTTGACCCCAGACATAATGTGAATGCAAATGAGCACTGGAGCCAAAGACAGAAGTTTATGAAAATGTCTCCAGCAATTGATTCACAGATAATTTTATAACACACTCTGTCACAAAGAGACTTTTTATTACAGTGATATTTCGGCAGCAGCAGCAGAGGGTCATTCAGCTCTTTAAATACCACTTGTTTTCAGCTTAACACATTTGTTTTCTCTGAATATGATGCTAATGACTAATAAGTGTGTGGGGTGGGTGTGACTGTGGGCAGCCATGACTGAACATCTGATCATGATGTGTTTGCCCACTCCATACATACATTATGTGCTTTCTCCTTTGCTTGTTTTCTTCTAGTATGAACATGCTACATGTCTGGAGAGTCAAAGATAATACGCCTCAGCAAAAATACGGTTTGTTCAGTTAAAAAAACAGCTGATTAACCTAATAAAATACTTACTGTTTTCTATGTCATCCTTCAGCTTTGTAAAAAAAAAATTGGTTCTGAATAGCTGTGCCAAGAGTCTTAGAGTTGAGCCCTGTTTTTATTTCTCTTGCAGGAAAGCCCTGCCATCCTCTCCGACCATAAACTGATCACCAGTTAGGCAGAGTTATTTGTTGTTGATAGCTGTGCCAAAGCAATAACCATATCAGATGCTGCTCCCTGAAAATAAAAACACACTCTGTTTTCTTTCTCTGTCACACAAACACACTCAAGCTGCATGAAATGCTGAAAGCATGTGTGGCAACAACTCCCTCAATTCTGATATCAGATAACCCTGAGAAACCAAATGCTTTGGGTGTAAACTCACGCTTGACTGGCAGGCTAAAATAGTTAGATGGGTGAAACTTATTCAAATACCCTGCATGCACATGTTTCGCTTCAAGGCAGTGCTTGGTGTGAGTGTTAAATGGTTGAGGAAGCTGATCTGCTTTGCATAAGTTCATAGTGTGGGAGCTACTCAAGCAGTGCTTCATGTTATCAGTGTGTGAGAAAGTAGTGAAATTTTAAAAGACACTAATTCAAACAGAAGTGAGTGCAAAACAGCCAAAAGTGTGACCGTCTAGTAACCGATAGGGTTTAAAATCCAGGCAGTAAAGTGGGCCGCAAATACTGCAGTTCCACAAATGACCACTTGAGCGAATCAATTCCATGTACTGTGCTCAGGTGGAAGTAGTCACTGACATGTCATTGCTGGTAATATTGTGGCAGCTCTATGGGCATAAAGGTCAGGTTTGTTGATTAAAAGTGTGGACTGGAGAGGAACGGGCGTTTGGCAAACTCTTGGTCATCAAAATTATTCAAGCCAAGGTCAGATGATACAAGACCTGCTGCTCATGCTGGCAGTCTGAAGGGTCTGATCTGTTGGCATGCACCCCAAATTGACATCAAGCCATTTTACCGTCAGCCATCGTGCATCTAGTCTGACCTACTGCAAGCCTGTTTGACTGGACTCCCTTTGTTAAAATGCTCAACTTTTGATGGACTTCTCTACAGCCTCATTTCCAAATATATGAAAAATAGAAAGAAACAGGGATATTCTGTCGCAGCTACTCTTTACTTAGTCTCAGAATCTGCGGAAAATGTCACTTTGGTTTGGACTCTGTGGAGGGCATTAGCAGAGCTTTGCACCACCAGCCTTCAGCATCCCTATGCATGTAGTGGTTACAAAATGTAGCTCTGATGCTGTCTACATACACCGTTTCTAAATCAAAATACTGCCAAACTCTGCTGCTCCAATAGATGCTTTCTGTGCTTGTTTGCATACAGGTAATTTCAATATAAAAACTATCAGTTTTGTCACTGACAGTACTCTTTGCTGTAGTTACATACTCTAAGATGCTCTGTGTAAACAATGTTTGTCTTTCTAGTCAAAAAAATTGAAAATAATGTGCATTTCTGGAGCTTTCAGGTGTAAAACATGTAGAAGAAAATGTTTATCTTCCAAATGATCTCACTTAGCGTGAGTACAGATTCAAATGTCTCATACTAAACTCTCGTCTCATCTGAGTATAATTAAGACATGATTTTTATGAGCAGCCAGCATTTCTAAATACTCAGTGTCCTGCAGCAGTAACTTTAAAAAAGACTTCAGCTGTTTGATGGAGGCTGCCCAACAATAACTCACTAGAGTGTTCGGTGTAGCCGAGGCCCAGAGCCAGCTTCTTGCCAAAATATATTTTCTTCCCACAGTTATTCCTCGTCGTAATTTTCCTGTGGAGTTCATGAAGTGAAGCTGTTTAATTTGAGACTCCTCAAGAGCCAACATTTTTTTCTATGCAGTCCGCTGGCTCTGAGCCTGTTCATTGAGAATCTGTCCCACAGCTCGTGTATGTTTGAAAAGCAAGAAAGCTGCACTCAGGCCTCTTCTGGATGTCTCTAACTCTTCTGGATGTCTCTAACTCTGTCAATACTCAAACCTAAAACTAAAGGAAGTTGGATTTTGATCTTTGATTGTGCTGCTGATACCTTACAATGTAAACAAGGTGGGCTTTTTTTATTGGGTGTGCATGAGCCTTGTGGTGCTCAAGCAGACACTGCGATTTTTGCTTTGGCTGCATTTCTCAAGGCTGAAGTTTCCGCCTTACTTTAATTAAACACAGCCTATGTAAGACTTAGCCTCAAAATTTATCCAACCTGTGCCTGTGGTTCCTCAAGCTGCTCAGTCAGCTGTGCTCGTTTACATCCGGGTAGAGCTTGACCATAGACAAGCATTAATCAGAGGTACTGCCCCAGGAAGTTTAGATTTCTGGCCAACTATAACAAAACAATATTGGTAATTTATTGAATAAATAAGTAATTCTGATTAGAGTGTTGAGCTATTTCAATATCTGTGTGTGTAAAATACTTTGTGAGTAATAAATACTGATCAGCTGAAGTAAGCTATGGCTAACACATGCGGCAGCTCAGCTCACAGCCACCACCCCCCCAAACAAGTAACATCAGAACAACTCTGTATAAGATCTGCATCATTAAGAAACTCTTTGTATCAGAGCTACTGAGGACTTTGTGCATTTACAATTTTGATTTTCCACACAGATTGAGATTCACAGCGCGTGTGTTTGAAGCCTTTTGATTTTCAATTGGAACAAATTACACAGAGAGCAGTCTGTGAAATTAAACAGTGGAATTCACACTTCACCTTAATTGAACACTGTCTGCACTTATTGGACTCAGAGGCCCTGGCTCCTTTCTCCTGGCCCTTTTCCCTCTTTTTGAAAAGCCTCAAAAAGAAGAGGAGGTGTGTGCGTGTGCATGTTTGTGTGTGTGTATGCATGTGTATATGTGTGTGTGTTGTAGAGAGTAGCAGGAAAGACACAGTGAATGTTTGCGTGGATGTGTGTAAGCATACATACACAGACGCACAAGCACAGATGGCAGCTGCTCAGCGAGGCCTCTGAGTGGTAATTACTGAGTGTGAGGCGCATTACTTAACTCTTAGCGTTGCAGTCGGCAGGGTTTCTGTATTGTTGTTTCTGGTGGAGACGAGGGTTGATTTTAAAGAGACAGGCTGGTTCAGGTTATGGGTAAAAAAAAACAAAGAAATCTTCCTGGAATGAAACTTTAAGTCATAACTCACCCGCTTTTGTGAAAGTTGTTAAGAATTTTTGAAGTTTCCAGAGGAAGCCTGAAATGCACTTTTGAAGATATGAGGAATGATGCAGTTTAAAAGTGCAAAACAGCAGTTTTTGCTCTTTTTTCTGCTTAAGTAACTATTCCTATTGACAAGTAAATCATCTACTAACATCCCCATTAACATACAGCTGTAGATACAGCCCTGCCAAGCGCTGGCTTGTGCGTTTGTCTGGAAAGCCCAGTGCTAACTTTCTACGGGTGGAGTTCTACACTCATGAAAAACAAAGATAATACTTTTTTTTTACAGATGCACTCCTGAAAATGTCTTTAAAAAATGAGAAGGGTCAGCTATTGTTGCTTTCACACACTTGTAACAAGAGGAAGTTGAAGCTGCATTTGATAACTTATTTTTACCTTTGTATCAACTTCATGCAGAATTAAGCTTCAGGTGGGGGGAAGATGCCTGTGAACAGAAAAGAAGTTAGCTTGGTGGTGTGTAAAATTTCAGCAGGTTACATGAACATCAGCACTAGGTGTGTCCCGATCAAACTTTTTTACTTCTGATATGATGCTGATACTGGAGTCTTAAGTATTGGCCGATACCTGTACCGTTCCGATATTGGCACAACCTTGTGCATGACAAGTTTTGGACTCAGCTGCGATATTGGAGATTATATCTGCTGATATCGGACCGATATCTGATATTAATATCAGATCGGAACATCCCTAATCAGCACTAACTCCTAATGCAAGTCTGGCTAAAATTGAGGTGAAAAATGAGTTCAGTGCATGCAGCCAGGGACTCGTATACAGAATTGTTCAAGGAAGGCTCCTTAAACTTGCAAAAAATCTACTCATTAATGAGTGGCGTGATATAGTGCTTTTGTTTGCAGTAGTTTTAAAGCTGATCAAGCTGAGCTGCATTTCCTAGCTAAGTTTTTCCCAGCCAAGCAAACTACGTTAATTTAAGATCCAGCAAAGATGATAGCTGAATGGTTTCTTGTCCAAAGTTTTCAAAGCATTTGCACTTTGAGTACTACAAAATTATAAAACAGCATAAAATACCAGTTAGATTTCAAGACAGAGAATATTATGAGTATAAAATCATGTCAATGTGAGAATAGAGTCGTGGTAAAGTTCCCAAGTTATAAGACTCAAATCATTATGTTTCTTAAATATTGTCCTAATACTTTGTCTGGTTATTGTCATTTTAATAAGACACAGAGAAATTTCTGTGCAGTTTAAGGGGATGGTAGTTGTGGAAGAATTTGGGGTGTTACACTTAATACACAGTCTGCAATAACAATGCTGTCATGCTGCAGTGATTCTGCAATAATTGGTAAATTGCACTGCAGTTTTGTTCTGGTACATCATGATCTGTGACGAGGTCATGGAGACAAAATGTTTCTAAAATAATAAAAAAAAATTAAAGAAATTGGTCCACATGGATTAAATCATTTTAATGTTTGAGGTTAGACTTTCTCATTTCATGAACTTTTGAATCTTCATAGCTGATCCTGGGTCAAGTTCAATCATGACTTAAAGAAACAAAAATCATGAATGTTATCAAACTAACTATTGTCAGTGTTAAATATGTGAGGAACCACCATGTTGCACATCTAATCTACAGTACGAACTTGATTTCTTTCCCAGATCTCCTACCATGGCAGCGGAGAGGGAGGGGAGAGTGATGACTCAGAGGGGGAGAACCAGGAGCTTGCACAGATTGACAGAGGTGAGTCCCCCCTGAGACCACCAATGATGGTGGGCCTCGACACTTATTGATTCTCACGCACTGTAATCAGATGTTTCCAGTCGACAGATGGCTGCTGATGAGAGCACTTGCACTTTTCTTGTTGTAACTTTGTCTTCACCTTCGTGTCTGATCTGGTTTCCTGGTTATTGACTTCTGTAGAGAGACGGAGAAATTGTGCCCTCACCCCCTTGGCCACCAGCCAGCAGCACAACCAGGGTCCCCTCTCTCCAGCTCGGTTACGTCGCCTCCGCCTCCTTTTAGATGCCAATCTGGACCGCCACTCTTCAGAGGAGGAGCTGGAGCGGATCAGCTGTGGTGACAACAGAAAGTGGGTGTCAGCTCTTCCCCAGCGGCACGGTGACCACCACAGCAGCGCCTCCAGTGACGAGGAGGTGCGGGACCTCTGTGGCTGTGGGTCGCCTGTTGCGTCAGCCAGGCCGCTGATTGAGCCTGGTGCTTGCTTGGCTGCCTCCCCCAGCCCTGTGCTCTTCAGCTCCAGTCCACCACGTAGCCTCAAGCCGCCCCCCATGAGGTTTCAGCTTCAGGTGGTGCAGCCAGTCACACGGCCCATCATTTTAACCCATTTTGACCAGTCAGCACCTTACAGAAAGTATCGGCACAGTTACAGCGGAGAGCCTGGGAGGCCCAGTCTGGACTTAGAGAAAATGCAACAGGTTAGTGGTCCAAGCCTTGTCAAATACCTCAAGAGCTCTTTCTTTGTGGAAGAAACCTGAGCCAAAATGCTGTCTGAGTTAAAGGATTATCTGTCAGGCAGATTATCACAATTTTGGTGAACTTAATGTTCAGTTTTCTATTGTGTAAAAAAATTCAGCTGCAGCCAGAAATGAAATGAACACTGCAGTGTGTCAAAGTTACCCACTGCATTTGTTTTTGTATAACATCATTTACCATGAGACTCACCAACATAAAAACAGACCATACACAGTCATACATTGTGCAATACACAATGAAATGTGTGAAGTATCTGCCTAACTGAGGTATGTACACATTTTCATTATGGAGAGTGACTTAAAAACACAAAAACTTTCAGAGTAGAAAAAACTGTGAGAAAAGATATCGACATCAAGCTTATTTCTTTCACTTTATAACCTGGGACTATTGGGAGGTGTCAAATTGATCAAAATGATGTTAGAATTGATATTTAAGACTGGCCGGTTACTGTTTTAGTAACAATATGCTGTTGTTAAGGATGGAAAAATTATTTTAAGTAAAAGTACATGTCAGTGGAAGTGAAGGTACAGAGCTCAAATCTAACTTATTCTAATCTAACCTTATTATCACTCATCAGCAGTATCACTGATGCAACTGCCTGCAGTGTCTGCAAACATTACTGTCTTCATCAACCACGTGGACAGTCTACCTCTGATATCAAGTGTTATATCTACTCCAGTAGGGTGCTTAGTCAGCAGATGCCAAATGGACTAAAATGGCTTCAGTGTAGTTCTGGGGCCAAGATATAGGACCAAAGTGAAGGTGATATTTTTCCCCATTGTCAATATTTTTAAAATGTGTCCAATTCAAAAGCAAAGATCCCTTGAAGGTCTGTCACAGTGTACCAGTATAGATGACAATCATCTTTTCATGCTGCAGGCCGCATGCCATAAAATAGAGGATAGAAGAAGTAACATTCCGAAGCAAAGCCCTTAGAAATCTACTCAGGCAAATTAATAACTTTTATAACACATTAGTCGATTGTGCACAAAGAAAAACTGTAGCTGGATTAAGTGTTGCATGATGATACCTGTGGAGTCATAATGGTTAAAGCTCTGAAGTTCTTACAGCTGTAAATGTGGTGAGCTTAGACGCTGGAGTAATTGGAATTACTTAGGGGAAGTTACAGGACACTTTACTGGTCCTTTGGTTGCTCCTCAGTTAAAGCAGAGTCTGTTCTTCTCTCCAGAATGACCCTAACATTACTGTTTCATAACATGTTAAAGTACATCACACTTATTCTCTTTGTATTTGGATAAGTTATGATGTGATTTGATTTAGGATTTGTCTGCAGCAGTATTCGTATTTATTAGTACCAAATAGCAGATGAGCCTCACACTCCCCCCACCTTAAAAAAAACTCAATGAGGCAGAGGATTTGATCCAAAAATACAATCATGTCCCTGCAGTCTAACTGACTATCCTGCACACACTCTGAAACGTGCACGCTCGCACGAGCAAACAAAGTCTTCCTCTCCATAGCCGGACGCTCGCCACCTCGGTGGTCTGGCTGGAGAGAGATGAAGGAGAGGGAGGCACGGACGGCAGATGTCCGCCCTCGTTTCTGACAAAGGCTGGCAAGCGAGGGGAAACGATGGAGGGGTGGAGGCAGAAGGAGAGGATTAAATAAACAACAGAAAAACGACAGCCACTAATGAGTCATGGAGAAGCTGGTCCACTAATCATTAAAATCCAATAGACTTGTTGGCCCACACTATGGATGGGAAAGGGTGTGTGTGTTATCTATGTGTGTGTGTGTGTGAGTGTGTGTGTGTGTGATTGCAGAGAGAGGAGCTGCAGGTTTCAGGGGTCCATATGTCCATGGGGTTTTTAGAGGGAAAGAACAGATGATGAGAGACAGCGGGCAGCGATGAGAGGGGTGAGGAGAAAAAATAGTGGAGGAGAGAGCGTGTGTGTGTGTGTGTGTGTGTGTGTGTGTGTGTGTGTGTGTGTGTGTGTGTGTGCGGCTGGGGTACGCGTCCATCATCCTGCCTGTCTTTTTGTGTCTGCATGTGTGCATCCTCCTGTCTGTGAGTTTGTTGCTGTATGAGTGTGTGTGTGTGTGTGTGTGTGTGTGTGTGTGTGTGTGTGTGTGTGTGTGTGTGTGTGTGTGTGTGTGTGTGTGTGCACTCAGTCAAGTGGAATGGGAGGTGCTGTAGGGAATACAATAGGGGGCCTACAGAGGTAGTCTGCAGACACAGCTCTCGTCTCCTATTAACCCTTAGCTGGACAACTTCCATTCATGAAGTCTGCCTCAACCCCGAAACCATCAGCATGTAATGTCTTTCACACGTGTTGTTCTGGAGTTTACATCCCATAAAGAAATATGTCTGTGCTGGTCCTCTGAAGGGATATTCAAAGGTGTTGAAATCAGATCTCACTGTTTTGGAGACCAATGCAGGCTTAAAAGGAACAACACAGTGAAACCAAGAGCAGTATCTTGGATTTCTGTTTGTTAGAATAAAAGTTATTCACTCTTAAAGGTGCAGTGAGTAGAAGTGCAGTGAGTGCATCTAGAAAATGGGATACTGACAAGCTAGTAATAAAAGCAGTTTTGTGTCAAGTGAGTGGCTTTGCAAAATGCAAAAATTGCGCCACTTTAGGGATGAAGAAGTGTAAGAAAGTGTCTGTTTTTGATGGTAAGAACTCAAAAACGTCTTGTCTTTGAAGAAAGTGTTTCATCAGGATGACCGAAGTGTTGATTTGCCTTGCCTACATTAATAAAAAGGAGATAAATATTCTTCCTAATTTATGAATACATCTTCTGTTTAAAGAAAAGTCAAAACTTGGATTAAAACAACACTGATCCTGTCTCAAGTGAGTGAGTGTCATTCAGGTCTACGGATTCCCTGTGTGACCTACATTAGATTGATGTTATGTCTCACAATTATCCCCAAGAAGGGGTAAAAAGGTTTGAGGTTGTTTTCTTTTAGTCTCTCTCATGAATATAAATGCTCAGATGAGGCAGTGTGGCTCTTTTTAGCTTGACTTTTTTAACAGAACAGTTTGTGAGGCAGATATGATGATAATAATAATAACTTTATTTATATAGCACTTTAAAAAACAAGAGTTTACAAAGTGCTTTAACATGCAGGAAAACAAAGAAAGATAAAAACATCGGAACAACAACAAGAGAGCACTTGGGGTGGAAAAAAAACATGACAAGACTAAAAACCCAGACTACATGTCCTAATCTGACATTATTGACAATAAAGAAATAAAATAAAAATAAAAATCAGTGGAAGACATAAAAGCTTGTCGTGAGTGTCACATGAAATGAGACGTCATTAAAATGAAGACATTAAAAACAAAGACATCATAAGAACCCGTGATAACCCGCCAACACAGGAACCCAACCACAAAAACCTGAGACCAAAAAAACAAAGTTTTACCCCTCTGTGTACAAACCTGTTCATTGTGATGTCCCTAGTTTGATTCCTTTCTTATATCAGGCTTCAAAACTTAAAGTACGACTTGTTTTGAACATGTCTATGCCTTTAATCAAACAGGTTAGACTTATAACTGGTAACGGTTGATTATCGGTACCAATAGTTGGCATTTGACCGATTATCTGTTTCAGCCTTTAGTTTCATAGATGGATGATAAAATGGATCATTAAAAAAGTGCACTTCTTTGTTCTCCACAGTTGGTGTGTCTTTCCCCCTGGGTGTGTTTTATTGCACCACTTTGTCACATGTAATGTCCCGCCCACAACATCATCTGATGGCTAGACCTCACACAGCCATATGATGAAACTGCACTGCTGGTGAAACTGGTTGTCTGTTGACTCCTGTATCAGGTGGTGAAAGTTTCAGCTCTGTTTAAACATTTGCCAAAAGTATTACATGAATTGGAGTTTTTCATGTTCCAAATTTTTAATTTTGATGGAAGGATTTTCATTTTTGGAGTCAAGGCGTGTCGGTCCCAGATATTGATCATCAGTCTCATGATCCCTTATTTAGGCCTCAATGAAACAATACCGATCAACCTCTACCATGAATATTAAATATTGAAAGTTCAGCTTATTGTAAACGAGAGCTGAGCTTAATTTTAAAAAAATCTCAGTTGTAGTATAAATATATGACTGTGACATTTGGCCCACATTATTTTTTTTCTTTGAAAGATTTTAAGAAATATGGCAATATTCTTAAAATTAATTATTTCGGCTTTATTCTCTTAACAGTGTGACTTTATCATAGCTTTGTTCTCATAGTTACACTGAACAAAAATATAGATGCAAATATAAACACAACTCTTTTGTTTTTGCTCCTGTTTTTCATGAGCTAAACTTAAATCTAAGACTTTTTCTCTGTACACAAAAGACCTATTTCTCTTATATATTGTTGACAAATTGTCTAAATGTGTGTTAGTGAACACTTCTCCTTTGCTGAGATAATCCATTTACCTCACAGGTGTGGCATATCAAGATGCTGATTAGACAGCATGATTATTGCACAGGTGTGCCTTAGACTGGCCACAATAAGAGTTAAGCTCAATAAAAATGGGAGCAAAAACAAAGGTGTTGGGTTTATACTTTTGTTCAGTGTATATCTCAAAACATTTTTGTTCAACGTTTTCTTGGAACACAATCGCTTTTATCTTTAAATCTCAATTTTATTCTTATGTGGTCATAATACTCCATCATGAATAGACTGCTGTGTACTCATTTATTTGTAATTGATTAACTTTAATTTGACCAGAAATGCTTCCATTTTAAGGAAGTTTTGGCCTAGTCAGCAGCAAAAATAGTTTCACATGCAAAACAAAACAACAGACAAACTTCAGCATCTAAAAAGAGTGTAAATACTGAGACATTAACAATAAAGACATTAGCTTTTACCAAGAACTGTCTTGTTATCCCGCGTACATGATTTAAGGATTATTTTTGTTTTTCAGCGTGTGCTGTCACATGAGGTGGAACAAAGTTTTGCCCTCAGGTCCCTGTTAAAGCAAAATAAGGATGCATGTGAGAAAAACAACAACAAACAAAGCCATTAAAAAAGCAAGATTAGACAAACACAACAGCATTATACACTGGAAAGTAGTATAATTAACTAAAACTACGACAGCTAACTTCATTTAAGCATGAGCCAGCATGCTCTTAACCTGCTAAAATAAAACACTTCTCAGAGTATCATTGAGAAAACGTACTCTTTTCACTAAACTCAGACAAAAGAGTTAGCCTGCTGGCAAGTCAGGACCTGTTGGATGTGAGTGTGTGTGGTTTAGGAGGAGAGGGGAGTTTGGTAGGGCTTTAGGATGAAAGATAAACTTTATTCATCGTAATAAATAGTATAAAATGCTCCTAAAGAAGAGTTAAGTGGGTTAAGACATGCCAAGCAGTGTTTAAAATCATTTAAGATGAGTCACTTCATAAACAAACAGATTAAAAAAAAAAGTTATGTGAGGCTGGGTTACAAAAGCAAAACTGCGTTTCTCGTGAAGTGTCCAGTTTTTTTGCAGCCACATAGACCGCAGTATCACAGATGAGAAAGAAAAGATAAGAGCCAGCAGGAGGTGAGCATTAGGGCAAGTGCACCCCAGCTCTGCCTCATCACAGCAGCAGGAGTCTTGTGTTTCCTTTCTTTCCTGTGCTCCCTTCCCCCTTAGAAAGCTACCTCCCCGACTCCAGACAATTCCATGATTGTGTGGTCCCTCCACCCCCACTGTTTTTTTTTTTTTTTTTCAGAATAGTGGAGTTGCGTGGACATGGAGGGGAGTGGGAGACAGGATATTGCATAAGCCTCATTGACCGACTGTTTAGTTTAGTGAGACAGCTGGATTGGTCTCACTTCCTCTTGGTTTTTGTCACGTCAGATTTTGCTGCTGTAATCCCAGACCAACTGTTTTAAAATAGACACATTTTAGAGATGTTTGCAGTGAATGTATCCTGATTAAAATGCACTTAAGTACCTTCTCTATTTAGCCTGTAAAATTTAGCAGATTGTACAAGATGCAGTGCACACATTTCACTACAATCAACATTTACATATTCTGAATCTGCAGGAAACACATTGACAATAAGAAAATGACACTCAAATGCAATTACAAAACAGCTTTTGTGGCCTCAAAAAACAAACAATGCACTTTAAAACAATGAAATTCTGAACATAGCAAGCTGAAGCTGCAGGAACTGATAGCTCAATTGATAAAGATTATTTATAAAACCTTGAAAAATTTTCCAAATGTGCAGGGAATGCAACTCATACTCCATGTTTTGCCTGTCATTGTCATACATTTTCCATAGCTGTCGATGTGTATTTCATTGTGCATCATCACCCCTTTCTCCACAGAAAATGCTGCTGAAAAAGAACTGTGGAGGGAAAACACGGACTATAAAGATTCGGGTGAGTTCATTTTCACTCCAGTTTCCACAGTTAACAGTCCAATCCCCCATGTTTGATTCTGGTTTAGGAGTGCACACGTTTCATTATATGTCAAAAAGAAAAGTTGGTTTAACTATAATCCACTTACACAGATGTGTGCAGAAAGCCATGCCTTATATGGAGACCTGTGATAGGGGTTGTAGTAGATCAGGCTGCTCATTACAGCAGCGATAAGGTTGCAGGGTTGCTCGGCCTCCCATGAACAGCCCGGTCTGTCCCATCGCCAGCACCTTGATGTCTATCCAACTGCACACTGGGACAGCATCTGGCTACAGCATTTGTTCCCAAGCTCTGCTAGCAACAGTTCCTGAGATGCCTGAGAATCTGACAAAACTGTGTGTAAATGGAGGATATGGAAAAAGGCTTTCAGTTATTTTATCGGTATCTTTATCCGAACATTTTCATGATACTGCTGCCTGTTTGATAAGATATTTAAGAAAACAATTAGTGATGCAGTTTCACTTTTCTGTATCTTTAAACTTTAGCAGGCTTAGGCAAATGGAGGCTGTTTTTTTAGCTTGTTTTTTTTCCATGTCCTCATGATAATGACCGCATTGATTTTTATCCTGTCAAAGGCGCAGTCGATGTTCTCTAAGATGAAAAGTGGGGGACTTCTCCAAATATATAAAGGATAACAGTGCTATTAATAATGACTACAGACTTTTCTTTTATGTTCTGCCATCAACACTGAATTTTCAAGTTTTCACTATTTGTTGGATTTTCTTTTGGGTGGTGTCGTGTATCCCTTTTACAGATATTTCGATTGTAGCAGAGAGTGGGCAGGGAGTGTCTTACTTGGCAAATTTGTACTTGCACACGCGCATGACAAGACTAGGTCTTGACTAGGTGCAGGACTCGATCAGGCTTGGTGCTGTTGGAGTAAGTTTGGGTCAAAGAGTCAAAGCTAAAAGATTTCAGAGATATGGTAGGCTTGGTTTACATTGGAGGGGTTATCTAAAAGAAGGCGACTTGATACAGTTTGAAAGAGCTGAACCGTGTGAGTTTGAATGTGAGGCTCACAGGCTGAAAACTGCAGGACAAATGATTGTTTTTAAGTTTGAAACCACTTCAAATATTGAGAATCATCATGTCTTAAGTTTGTCCTTCTTGTTATTATATTCATCATGATCCTCCAAGGGACTTTCGTGTTGTCCAGCCATTGCAGCATCATAGTGCGACTGCAGATCATTATTGACTGCAGAAAAATGTGGCCCCCCCACACACCACTTTTTTTTGTTTGCATTTTTTATCTCCCTCAACAACTTCAAACAGCCGAGCTTTCCTCTCGTCCCATTAGTCCACATTTACTCACCTAAATAGCTCACACAAGGTATTTTCCCAAGACCATGTCCTGTCTGATCTCCCTGTAAGGTGGTTTTTCAAAACGCCGTCTCCAGTAATCATCCTCCAGCTCACTCAGGCTCTGGTAACTGTGTACGGGGTGATTCTGTTTGTAGTGGTTAAGGGAAGCATGTTGGAGAGGCGGCTGGAACAAGCCTGGGCATCTTGGCACGGAGCATTATACTCCAGAAGGATGCACAGTGTGGTGAGAAAAGTGACGTTATTATCACGTTGTGTGGGCTAAGTGTCAGTGGAACCTGATCGCACTCTTGTTTATGTACACACACACACACACACACACACACACTAACTGCAGCAGCCTGTAAGTTTGCTTCAGCTCTCCATATAGGTATGCATCATTGGTATAAATGCAGAAAAAAAAAAAAAAAACTGTGAACAATCTTTGAGAGTAGTTTAGGACGAACGAGTGAGCTGTGATGAGCGATGGAGCTGAAGAGGAGGAAGAGGAGGTGGAGTGTTGTGAGCGGTTCCCTTGTGGTGTATTTCCAGGGATGAAGTCATTTTCCGTTTATAGCCTCGGCCGGCTGCTATCTGTTCAACTCCGCTGATACATAGAGATATTGCTCATTATCCTCTGTCCTCGCTGGCGTAGTTGGTAGTGTTGTTGTCCCTGTCTGTGACGTCTGTGGGTTTTGAGAGTTTTCCAGCTCAGAGAGAGTTCCTGAAGCGAGTACACAGCGAGTTTGAGGATTGATGAGCCATTTGGAGGCTTGTGTCCACTCTTTGAGCCACTCACACTATGCCGCCATCTATCCAAATCTTTCTCTGTTCCCTCTTTCACTCTCAGCTCCTCAGTTTCCTGGCCAGGGTCCAGAAGAGACACTGGATCTGGATGAGGGCCCCAGCTCTGAGCCTTGATTCAAGCTTGAGAGTTGTTACAGGAGTTGGGGAGGTCGGTGATCTCAGTTGTGTGTGTATGTTGAAGCAGTAGGAAAACACAGCTTTGGCCTCTGCGGAGGCCTCCCTCCTCTCCTCATGGGTCTGGGGGTGAAAGGAGAGTGGGGGTGGTGGAGTGATGAGAGCTCCCCAGGCTGCAGCAGGCACAGAGTGATGGCATCTGGTTTCAGCCACTGTAAAAGAATAGGCAGAGAAAAGATGAAGATTGATCGAGGTGAAGGAGAGGGTGCAGTTATGGAGGGCTGGGAAAGATGGAAATGAAGGAAAAAGCACAAGTTCCTCTTTGACTCCGTTTGAACCCAACAAAACTGGCAATAAATATTTGGAGGATGAGCTCATTTGCTTTTAATGCAAAGTAGGATGAGGATACTGTTATAACCCTGGTGTCGTACTGTTAAATATGACACTGACAAATAGACTAAAAGGACTGAACCCGACTCAAAGCACCTTGACACTGGACAACGCATTCACACCACAGTCATACACTGACAGTGGAGGCTGCTCAGAGCCCATCAGCATTAGATATTCAGATTCCCAGTCTCATGGATTCACACACCACTGGAAGCAATTTTGAGTTCAGTGTCTTGCCCAAGGACACTTCTTGCACAGGACTGCAGGATCAAACCATTAACCTTCCAGATGAAAGACAGCTGACTGGGACATTAATCCACAGCTGTGTACGGTTATAAAGGAAATTTGGATTTCTACAAGAACAAACAGTCTTGGGCAGGTATACAGTTGGAATTATTATTCAATGATTGGACCTGGATAAAAGATGTTTTTTTAATTTATTGAAATACAGCTAAAAATATAAGTGGGATCATCCTTTAATATTTGGGATTTGATAATTTAACATTCTAGGGTAGATGCTGTTGAATATAACCAGGGGTGTCCCGATACGATATTGATATCGGTCTGATATCAGCAAAAAAACGAATATCAGCCTATATCGGCCTGCATCTAAAATCTCCAATATCAGCACTCCGATACATGCAGTCCATTCCAGACTCCGCTCCAGCACCTCCATCTAGCAGAGCCCACAAAATCACAACAACAGTGTGTACTAAGGTACTAACAAAGTAGCAAGGCGTAGGAGTGATGTTGGCCTTGTGGCAGTATTTTTTTGTCCGAAAAAAGACATTGCAGCTGAGTGAAAAACTTTTGCACAATTTTGTGCCAATATCGGATCAATATCAGCCTCAGTTAATATTGAAGGCTACAATATCGTTATTGTATCGGAAGTCAAAAAGTTGTATCAAGACACCCCCAAATAAAACCGAACTTTTATAACATGGGTGCAAACAGGAGAACACTGACTTACCATAAAATCCACTCACTCTGTGAGACCAGCAGCAGTAACCCCCTTAATACAACATTTCACCAGGAATCATACTTGACTTTTCAACAAAAGGCCTTATCTTGTCACTGTCAAAGTAGAAATGTTGTCAACACTTTGTACAGTGTTTTTAATACTACGCCTAAATTGAATGGTCGTCAATCCGTGCACCGACACCTTTTTTCCTAAGAGTTAAGAAATGCATTTAACAGAGTGGTGTCAACCCAGTGTGGAAACTCTGCAATCACGCCAACTGGGCCTTAAACTAATTATCAACAGGACCACATTTCTGACTTGTCTCCATCCGTCTTGAAGGGCGCTTTTGTTTAACAACTTCAGCTGGTATCACAGTTGCTTTTGATGTCTGCACAAACAGAGCCGTGTACTTCAGGGCCCTGTACTCTGTTTGACCCTCTGAGGCCCTAAATGTCCATCATAGTGCAGATGTGACCACAGGGAAACTCTGGGGGGGATTACAAAACCGGACAGGGAGCCGTCCTGATGTACGACTCCCCCTCAGTTGGACGAACTGCAGCTACCATATGGAGAACATTTTAAGACAGTCCTCATCTATCAAGTTTGGACTGTAGTTTGTTTTCCCACCTCTGACTTGCTTCTTGTTTGTGCAAATATTGATGCATGAAACCAAGGGTAGTTTCCAGGTTTGTGGATAAAACAGCTCTCAGCAGTGTTGGGAATTGTTGCCGCGTTACCACAGCACAGTCGTCAGAACTGAATCCCTCAAGATGTTAGCTGAAGTCATAGTAACACCTGTAGCCTCAAATGCTTTGTTAATGGGGCCTTCTTTCATACGCCATGATGTCAGCGGGTACTTTCCAGTAGCAGCCACAAGGATGCATCTCTCTTAGTTCCCACAGAGGTGTTGGGTAATGGTTGTCAATGAGAACCTACAAGCTACTCATATAAACACACACTCGAGTTTTTCCATTGGATCAGCATTGCCTAATTAAAGTGAATCCGTCTCAAGGTCTTAATCTTTCTCAGTCCACCTTCTCACAAACTTCGCTCCCCCTCAGCAGGGCTCTGGAGAAAGTGCTGCCTCACTGCCAAGTCCAACAAAGTCATTTCCTGTCGTTTCCTGTTGGGAGGAAAATGACCAGGGCTAATTTTAGACTGAGTTTCTGCCCAGATGACAATGAATGTGCGTGTGGGGGGGCTGCTTTTTAATGGGAAAAAAACTCTTATGACACTGAAACAAACAAAGTGAAAATGTTTTAATGAGGTGTGGTCTCTCTCCTACAGCTGTCAGCCCCATTTTCTCGCAGTCTTATAACACAGCCAGACTTTAATGCTGTTAAAGAAAGTCACCATTGACGTGAACTGACCAATTATACCATAACTCAAGGACAGCAGGTAATCCCTGCCATTTCCACCTGACAAAGCTGGATTAACCCTCCGTCTGACAGGTCTGTAGCTCAGCAGGACCACTCACTGTGTTTGGCAGCTACAACTTTAAGTTAGAAGGAAAATGGGTCATCATTTTAAACATGCTCAAAGTCCCTGCACTTCTTAAATACTCATTTTGCTGTCCCTTTTGTCCTTGCTATCATTTCCATATAAGTATGTTTATATCTTTGTAGCATCACCTGTTTGGAATGAGCCTTAGTGATGTTGTCAGCTGTTATCTTTCTGAAGTGATGTTATGAAGCTGCATACTTGAAAGTCCAACTCCAACTGTCATTCCTTGCATCTAAAAACAAGTATAGAGATAAAGTCTTGCCCTGTTTTTTTCTCTATGAATGGGTCTTTTTAAATGATTATGGATGTGGTTTCTTACGTGTCTGCAGCCAGCCTCTAGTGGACGCTTAGGGAACTGCAGTTGTAGCATTGCTGCATTTTTTTGTCTAGACTGGAGTTTGCAGCTTGTTCTCAACCACAAAAAAGTTTCTTTTTCTTATCTGGACTTTGGTATTAGCTGATATCCAGTACCTCTCTGTTTCCAGTGTGATAAAAGGATTATACGACCATTAACAGGACAGCTTTTTACATGTAAGCTAAACTACTGACCCTGCATGGATCTGGTAATGATTTCAATTGTTGATCAGTCTGGTTTACGACACTTTGGGGATCTTGACTTCAAATCATAAACTTAATAAAGAAGGATGTGATCTCAGTGAGGTTACTTATTGGTTTCTGGAGTGGGGCCACTTTTTTGACGCAGGAGAAAGCCAGATTTCTTACAAGAGTTCTGTTTAGCGATTTCAACTGTTTTAAACTTTAAACAGCTTAAATTTTTCAATATGAAAGAACTGGTTTCTGACATGTTCATGGATGCCTTATTCAAGATAGTGTCACGTGATCACTTGCCTCACACTGGTACTTTTTGGACTCCTTAACCGTACTTGACAATAGACCAAATTTTGTAGAAAGGTGGGTGACTTATAAGATGGATTACTTTTGGTGGCGCTGGGACAACTCCAGTACTGAGACACCTCGTTGAAACTCTGACCGTTTGTCTTTGTCTTTCTGTGTCTCCAGAATCTGACAGGCAGCCGTCCTCCGCCCAGGTACACCTATGATCCATCCATCTTCGCCTTCCGCTCTCTGAGCACAGTCCCCCCCTGCAGCCCCCTGACCCCGTCTGAGGATCCTCCCTGCTCATAAGAAAGACCCATCGACTGCCAGATAATCTCCCCTTCCTCCTTTTGACCCCCAGATGGCTGCTTTTTTTCCGGCTTCTGCAGCAAGACCAAGAAGTGACTGTTAGACTGCTCAAAATGTTGTTTTTGTTTGAAGTTGGAATTTTTGCACACTCAGGTAATCCTGCTCTGTCACTCTTGATTATAGCTCTCCATAAAAACGAAACAAAGAACTTTTGGAAAGTAAAATTACCTGAACACCACATTTTAAAAGGACTCTTCAGGTTTTACCTACATGTTTCTGAAAGGGGTGCTGTGATTGGAGGAAAAGTAAATAAGAAACCTGGACAAAAGTTGGCTCAAAAGGGACTAGGCCAACAGGTTTTTGAGACCTGGATTTATTCTGTGTTGGATCAATATTCAAGGGAAAAAAAATGCATGTAAGACAATCAAATGGTTCCAAGGTTTCCTTCTTTGGTGTGATTACTGGAAATCCTGTCAGGTTCTTGGTAACTTTATACTCTAAACATGGCAAGGTGAGTCAGCTGATATCCTGTTATTGTGGAGATGAACGTAGACTGTCTGGTCAAACAACTTCTTTCAAACGTGTCATTGAATATGCAGGTCATGAGGAGCTATAACAAACATGTATGACATGTATGTAGTTGAATAGACCTTTGATGATGTGTGTCTCTTTATGAACTTGTCACTTTTAGTCCAGGTCAGAGTTAAGTTCTTGTATCCTCTTTCCTTGCATGAGTTCCACTGCTTTGCAGAAAGAGAGGTATGCGGAAATAACGAACGTTTCAGAATAGTTTGCTGCACATTTGGCAAGTGTAACCGGTGCTATGGACTTCATAGCCGACTTGTAGTGTGCCATTTTTTTTCTTCCAATATTGTACCTCATTACTTTCTAGGTAGAAGAGGACCACTGGTGTATCAGAGACATCCCAGTGTTTTCTAAAGATCTCTTTATGCCTTGAAATCACATTCCTGTTGCGTTGAATGAAACTTGAGGGAGTTCTGGGCTCTTCCTATGAGCCCATCAGTTGATTTAACACAATGTCACCACTGTAACTAAGATTTTGCTGAAGTGAATGTAACATTGTGACAAGTTGGAGTCCATTGTTGCACAAAATGAATCAATAAATGCCCTGTGGCCTCTTGTTGAGGAGGTGATTGTTATTTCAATCAGTCTACCGTATAAACTGTAACACAGGTGAGCCTAGTGTGCGGGGTGTTTCACTACCTTTGACCTCTTTGTTTTGGTTTTATGTCCCTCATTTCTTCTCTTTGATTCACCGCCACAACCAGATTTCCTTGTGTGTTAGCTGTCAAAGGGGAGGTCCACAGCCATTTCTATTACTCAAGATGAGTTTCGACCTGAAGAGGAAACTCGTCTTCCCTTATGCCGTGGTGGCAACCTCCCTCCGACCAGATATGGTCCTCCTATCCAGGAGCACCAAAACCATCATTGTGGCAGAACTTACCGTGCCCTGGGAGGAGAGGCTAGCCACGTCCCACCATCTGAAGAAAGCCAAGTACCAGGATCTGTTTGAAAAAGCAGCTCTAAAAGGGTGGCAGGCAACCATTTTTCCTATTGAGGTTGGCTGCCATAGGTTCCAAGAAAAATCGGTGCGCTACTTCCTCCAGAGAGTCGGTTTGGAGTCCAAACAGCTAAAGAAAGCCACCAGGGAAAAAGCTACGAAGGCAGAGTCTAGCTCAGGAATGGTTGTGGCTGAAGAGGGCCCAAAGTTGGAACCCTTCTGCAGGCAAAGGCTAACCGGCCTCCGCAGCCCCACTTAGGCGAGGTGTACAGGTTAGGGGGTGAAACACCTGTGACCCTGTGATACCTGCTGATGATGCACAAGGGTTCCCAACAAAACAGGCGAGCCAAGGAACGCTAGTAAGGATCCAGTCTATGTAGTCTGTAGTTAATGCTTGTAGCTTAGCATCTTTGATGTTTATCTCACTAGTCTGATCATTTACTGCATCTGTTGCTTAAAACTGTGTCAAACTGTGTCAGACAGAACTATCAAATTTACGATACAATACTTCAGAGTGCTGGGTAAAAGTCAAGTCGATTCGTATATCATGGACTTTTATTTGCTGATCAGCTGCTTTAGGAGGAGGAATACAATTTTGTGAAAACAAATGGGCTTCCTAACAACAAAGTGAGGAACATTTTCTGAAGACAGCCAAGCCTAACTCTAAAATTTGACTGGCCTCTATGAAATCCTGAACTGTGATTGGCTATTTGCCATTCAACACTTATGTTGAAATCTGCTATTTGGGTCGTGTTCAGTAGGTGTCCGGTAGCTTCATTTTCTTTTGCAAGTACTTAAACTAAATCTTGGCTGCCTCAGTGTGTAAACCAATACCAGCCTTAGTGTTTAGGATAGTCTTTAATAAAATGAAAAATTAAAATCAACCAGATCCAACACAATTGTGTTGGATCTGGTTGATAGTCAAGTGTCCACTCTGTTTCTCTGACTGGTATCTCATCCACACTTTAACCCAAACAAGCCCATCCTTTGAACACTTTCACATTTACTTTGTGTAACAACAAAAACAAACCGTTTCTAGAAAAATGTGAATATTGAACTCGTCATTTTCTTCATTTCTTTCATTTCATTTTATCATCAACTCAGTCCTCTGTCATAAATGCTCGATCCTGTTCTAGTTTTCACTCCTACCCCTGATTTTTGTGCTCCTTCTAAGAGTTATAAGAGTAGCTGTGAAATATTCCACTAGCATATTGGACAGCTCTTGAAGACCTCAATACATCAACAGTAACTATCAACTGTATAACTAGAAAAGCACTTGGAGAGCGCAGACCTCCGCCAAGCAGCTCATGTCCCCCCTTATATTGTGATTCACACCAAAACTTTTACTGTTACGTGTCTTTTATTAACTTTTATTTGTGCTTAAACTGGTATATTCACTGTTCATAATGTTCCTAACACAAGAAATTCCCTGACCCGGATTCGAACCGAGGACCTTCTTGTTGTGAGGCAACAGTGCTAACCGTTATATCACTGTGCCGCCCATTAGTTATCTTTCAGCATTGAAAATTCCAACGACACCCTTATTTTTGTGTGTTTTGGATCACAGTATCCGGAATTTTGTCTGGATCAGGATCAACCTTTGACACCTCATAAAACTCATCGAGATCCTTTTGTGTAGTTTTTTACTAAAGACTCTGGCCATTTTTATAGAGTTAAATGCAAAAATTCCTAAATGTGCCCTATCTCACAATGATAAAGAATCCTTCAAAAACTTCCTGGATCCAGAAGGCGATCCGGATCACCATCAAAATTTAATGGGATCCTCCTGGGGCTGAGACGCACCTCTGGTGAAAATTTCAGGTCAATCCGTCAGTTACTTTCTCCATAAAGTTGTTCCCAAACAAACAAACAAACAAACAAACCAACCAACAAACCGGGGTAAAGCTGTACTTTCCCACCTGCTGAATATGTTTTAAAGGAATATAACCTCAAACATCATTGAGTATGATAACAATTCAAGTACACTTTCGGGAATATAAGGCTGTCTTGTGGCACTTGAACCCTGAACTGGTCTTCCTTTCGGAACACAGTACCTACAGAGGCTTCGTGTTGTAATTATCAGGGTGTTTGGTTTAACTCCAAACAGCTCTGGGACTCATTTAACCCCTTCAGTCACTTAGCTGCTTCAAATATCAGATAGATGTTAATTTTCCCTCATTTTGGATGTTTACGAAGCACTCAAACCTCCATGATATCATCTGTTGTTCCTTCAGCTTCTGTTTTCCGTCTTTGAGCAATCCGATATACTGGGTCACTTGTCTAAAATGTCCCATGACTGATGTGATCTTTGCAGATTCTAAAAATGGATGAGACTTTGTTTGATCTGGATTTTCTTGGTTCAAAAGCCTTTTGCTGGAGTAAGTGGATCCAATGTTAAGATTTAACAATACAGTCCATACAGAACCACAGAATGACAAAGTGCATGGTCCTCTGTCTTATCTGTGGAACATCGTCTTATCTGTCGAGCATGAGGAGGATTTGCTTGGTGGAGGGACAGAGGACTCCTCTCATGTATTTGGGGCACAGAGGAATGCTTTCCACCAGCGATTAGTAGGTCACAGCACAGAACATCACAGCAAAGATCTGCAGCCAAGACCACAAGGCTCTTTGTGCCAGATCATGCCCTGAGTAACGCTCTTTGTGTGCAAGGGAGAGCTCCAAAAAGAGGGGAAGAAACTCTGACGTCAAGGCTGGGTCTGGGTGTGAAGAAGCCCCCGGAGCGAACGCCAGAGAGGACAGACAGCTGGAAAATCTAAAGTTGGAGCAGCTCTGAGGTAATTTACAGACACTTTTATTCCACATTTTTATCACAAAATACATTTCTTTACTTTGTGTTTTGGGTTAAGACGACAGGAAAGAGGGTGGAAAGTATGGCAGTAAACCAAGAGAACAGCACTGAGTGGGATTTCACAGAGTGAGGAATCCTGCTCCAGGCAAACACACACACTCACACAAACACACACGCACACACAGCTGACGCGCTCATAAAGACAATCTTGTTAAAAAGAGAACTTTGAGAAGGTTGGGGTGTGTGTGTGAGCGAGTATGTGTGTGTGGAGACATACACGCACACTCCACTTAGCTTGAGTCATTATCAGCTTGCGTTTCATCCAGTAAGCCATCCAAGCGGCCAGATGGTCAGAAAAGCTGCTTCAATGCTCTCCCTCTCTCTCCCTCCTTACTACACACTCTCCTTTGGAGGAAAAAATAAGGTTATGCCAGCGATCGGCTGAAGCCAAACAGGGGAGGGATGCAGATTGGATGTCGGGTGGACTTAACTGAGAGTGGAGCAGCCAAAGAGCACGAAGCTGAATCCACATCAGTTGTCGCTCCTGCTCGGACCCCTTCTATTTCCTGCCTGGACGATATAGAATTCAAATAAAACCGTCTGAATCCAAGAGCTTCTCATCTCTATTAATATCTGGGGTGAAAAGTGCCAGAAGGCTGACTGCCCGGTGTCTGCTCTGAGGGGGGCAATTCCCAGAGCCGGACAGTTTAATGTGAAGCGGAATGGTTTGCTTTCTCAGAATCCCCCCAACAGATCGAAAAAAAACCTGCAGTCTGGTTGTCTTTGCAAGTCCTCTGATGTGCTCCACAAACACACACAGGGACTGGGAAGGCTGGAGAGGGTTTACGGTCAGAGCAAAGAAGACTGGAGGCTTTGTGTTGCAGGTATTATCTCCGGTATAAAAGCTGACGGAGGGCACACACGCTCCAGCTCAGTAGCCGTACTTGTCGTTGAGGTGTGTGCGTCCGTCTCCGCTCTGACCTACGAGTAAAGAGAAAAGAGATTCAGACATTTCCCTACAAACCCAGGCTGTAAAATGTCCAAAGAAAGGAATAAAAACACTCAGACTCACCATAATTTTAGGACTGTGATCAAGGTTTGACTTTCTCTGTTGTACTTTATTTCTGCTGTGTTGTTATTTCATTTCTAAATGTTTGGCATTCTGCTTCAAATACCAAACCTAGATGGGCAACAGGTCTAAAACTTTGGACGCATTTGAGAACCAGTGTCCACAACCACAAACAGCCATGTGGTTAAGGGCGCACACTTGACCACGACAGAGGACTTCTCCATGGGACAGTCAGCTCTGCTATGTCCTGAATAAAAACAGGGCTGAGTCTACAGATGTGGAAAAAGACTTTTGCCACTATTTCTGCAGACAAAATGTCCTAAAACCTAAAACCAGCTTGTTTGGAAATGACATTGTGTATGGTGTATACCACAATCTCAAAAGTCAAAATTCCCAGCTGCGTATTGGAAGCATCATTTAGACTCAAAACTCAAAGACAACTCAAAACTTTGTGCTTCAAGTCTTACTGTCTCCACACTCAAAGTGCGAGTGAAATCATTCACACAACTAAATTACCTTAAGTCAACGCAGAGACGCGATCAGATGCTTCTGCAACTCTGGCGGCGCGAATGACATTAATTGGGTCTTAACTGCAGCAAATATTCACATCGTGATAACTAATCAGCATTAAGGTTGCCGGGTGAAATATGAAAACGGACGGTTGTTCACTGGTATCTCAAATGGAGGACAAACTGATTGTGTCGGTGTGTGGATGCCCTGAATTATATGACACCTTTTCTTTCAATTCCCGAAACCGGAATAAAAAGGAGCTCTCCTGGAGGCAAATGAGTGAGGAGGTCAGATTACCTGGTAAATTGTAAAAAACCTTTGTCTATCAGTTGATCAAGCCGATTGAATTGGCAGGGAATACCATTGAAATTACCGCTGACACGCGAATGAAGCGAGTAAATACTATTCATTCACGCATCACTAGTAGATGATTTTACTTGCACTTGGTGTGAGTGCCCCATAAGACATCTTCCCCTGCATCAGCAGTAAAAAAGCTGAAATCACACTGAGCAAGTTCTGTCTGTGGACATGTTCATGTCTGCTTTCATAGTGTGTCTTATAATCTGGAATCTGCAAACCACAAAAGGAGCTAATGGCTAACAGTCTCCTGAGTTTTTAATCAACCCTCAAGTGGAATGTGGTCGACCCAGATGGGACATAATTCCTCCAACAGCAGATTTATGGGGTTAAATTGGATGAAAACATTCTCCTGCATTCATGTGGCGTCCGGCACGTAGGAGAAAAAAGGGATCTTGGGTTCAAAAAGCACTTGAACACCTGCTAGAAAGAACTATATGTCCCCAGCATGCTGACACACATCTGATCAGCACAGCAGGCAAACAATGAGTAGAGAAACTTTTAATGCAGATATAACTGAATGTGACCCCTAGAACCCTCATCACTGTACTCTATACTCAAAGGTTGGGTGGTCCCAGGTCTGATAGTGTCACAATCGGTCAATTACCTGAAGGAGGAACCCAGACACAATAATCAGGGTCGTCATCTGGATACTGTCCAGACAGCTGCACTGGAGGCTGAGGAGACAGATCATGAGCTTATTCTCTGAAGTTATAAAAACAAACACTTATTTGTGTGTCAGGCTTACTCTGCTGGGGCCAATCACTTTCTTCTTAGTGTCCTTTTTGGGTTTCGGCTCCACGGCCGTCTCTGTGTCTGCCGCCTTTGATTCTACAGACACGTGGGAAAAGTAAGGTTCAGTTCAGGCGTTGTTACCACTGATAAAGAAGAGAAACAGAGAGATTTGGAAACACAGATCCTACCTGAGCTGGACGGGGTCATTGCCTTGTTCTTGTTGCTGCTCTGTGGGACTTCCTCTGTTGTTTCAGTGGAAGTGTCACCTCTCCTCCGTCTGTGGCTTTGCTCTAGTATCACAAAGATTGGTGGGATATAAGTAAAGAGGCTTAAAATACAATCAAATCCATTAAAAAAGAGTCTCAAGGAAAGTTGACTCAGTACCAGCTAGGGCTGGGCGACAAAACGATAACGATATCTATCAAAAACTAATTTCTCTTAATATCAATATAAAATATGGTCGATATGCTTTTCGATAGTCGACATTCTGCCATGTTTTGGTAGACTTTATGAATAGCCGATGAAAAGGGGAGCTGCTCCAAGTCTGCTTTGTGCTGAACCAATCATGTGCTGAATTCGAACTAAGTAGCAAACAACTGCATAGTAGCAAGCTGCAGCTACATGCAACCATAGCACTTTAACAGGTGAAGCCGACAGTACTGTCAATGTAACAATTTATTTAAGAGCAACAGGGAACATTTAGGATTGACAAGTGATTTTTTTTCATACCCTGATATATGTCGATATCGACTGATATCATAAAAATGTATCGTGATAAACTTTTTCCCATATCGTCCAGCCCAAGTAACAGCTGATGTACAGAATCAATCAGACTCAGTTTAAGCTTCACAGGATGAGCCTGATGTCTGATGATCTAGGTTGGAAATGCCAGAAGGAGAACTAACTTTACATGAGGTTCAAGAGCCTGTTCAGGAAAAAGTACTACAGGTGCATTTTAACCAATCAGATTAAAACGAAGTTTCAGAATCTACTTTGAGAAGCTTTTAGGTAAGAATGGTCCACAGCTCATGATAAATAGAAAGCCAGCATCTCGAACTTGTAAAGCACTTCCTACGATCAAATAGATAAAGATTAAAAAAGGAGAAAAGTGAGAGTCATCAAATGCTTGGTTTATCAAAAAATAATAAGGATCTGGTTCAACTACTTGAACTAAAAAAATAACTTCTCACTTTTTGTTTTCTAAATGAGCAAATTTACCCAAAGCCTTTAGACCTTTGACACTTTTGATTTGATCATTTTGTCCCGCATGTATTTATAGAGCCAGTCTGCACAGGCCTGCATGAGTTCATAGAGTGAAGATCAGAGCATATCGCTGCTCACCATCAGCGGAGGGAAGAGGACGATGAAATAAAAGTACACACTGATACATAATCATACACTAACTGAAAGAGACCATCTCATCTGTCTCTTGAAGAAACTTGAACATGCTGAATTAAAAGAGTGGTTAGGCCTCCACATGATTTCAGGCTTTTGTTGAGCGACTTTTCAAAACAATATCTTTCTTAGGTCATCATATTTCAACATGAATCTGACGCTGTGTTGAATCATCGAATGAATCAAAAAGCCTAAACATCATTACTTCTATTACTGTGAAGGTCACTTTCTTCTCCACTAAACTCCATGTTACACAGTGAACACTTTGCTTCTGGTATGAAAGACATACTGCCACCCAGTGGTGCAAAAAAAGTGATGAGCTGAACACTGAAAACATTTTTGCTTCTGTGTTTTTTGTTTGTTTTTTTTCATGTTGACTTTTAAAAACCACTTCTTGGTCCTCACTGCTCTTACCTCTCTGCTCCTGGGATTTCTCCGGATGCTGTCCTGTGGAAGATCCGTCTCGGGACATGGATGCACCAGACTCCTCACAGTCAACATTCATGTCGGTTATATTTTCACAGTCTTCATCGGCATTCCCCTTATCTTTCTTCTCTGCTGCCTCCTCCTCCTCCTCCTCTTCTTCCTCTACCTCCTCTCTGCCAGGTGCGAGCTCTTTCATGTTGAACAGCTCTGCGGGCAAGTTGGGCCGCTTAGGTGGCAACTTCTACAAGACAGAAGAGGACATCAATTGAGAGGAAGAGGTGGAGGAGAAGACAGAAAAAGAAACGTTCCCAGAGAAGTGAGAGAGCCAACATGATGGTGAACAACATTTACCCCGATGGTGCCGGTCTTTAGTCGGAATTTGCTTCCTCCTTTCATGGCTCCAAACAGCGGTAAGCTCTTTTTAGGCTTCTCTGGCTCTGAGCTTCCACTGTTAAACAAAACACGTTAAAATATCTGTCCAATATCGATTTTTATTAATTGAACTTGAAGATTTATCCCTAAATTCATCCCTGCTAACCTCAGGGAAGGTTTCAAAGACTGTAAAGTGTTGATCATCCTTAGAGTACACCTGCTAATATTTCAGTATTTGTGTGACACGGTGTGTAACATTGTGTCCAACCTCTGCTGCAGTGAGGGCATCTGCGCAGGCCGCGTGAGCTCCACCAGCTTTCGCAGCCGCTGAGCTTCTTTCCGTAAATCTGCCACGTGCACATGAAGCTTCCTGCGCTCCACGGCGTCCATCGCTGCGTCTCTCCGCACCGCGGTCATGAAGGCGTCTAGCGGGTCCTCGGTGGAGGAGCCGGAGGAGTCTGAGAGGAGGGATGAAACACACAATAACACGAGTGCATCATGCATCTGTAGGTAGTGAACACCCAGGCCATCATGACTCACCTCCTCTGCCTGCACTGAGCTTTTTCTGTGTCTCTGCCAGCTCTTCCTCCACCTCTGACAGTTTGGCCACCTACGTGAAATTCAAACACACGAGTGTTTCAGCACAAACATACAGTATGTTTCACAAAATCAGGGTATAAGTGCACTTTAAAGCACCGAACACTATAGAGCTGTCTCCAGAGCCACAACAACCGCTGACAGATGGATGACAAACAGGCAGCTCCTGTGTGTGTTTTATTGTGTTTTCATAGAGGACAAATACTGCAGCTAGAGGAAAGCAGACAGTTTGAAGATTTTTAGATCTGATGTGTGTCCAACAAATCTAATTTTGACTATGAATCATTTTATCATTTTAAGGGAAACATGTTTGGCGTAAATCTGATACCATCAGGACAGGGACTAACTAACTACTACATATTAGAAACAAGACCAGATATGTAAAAGAAACTCTCAGAAGTAGAGATGGGAAAAGGTTCACCACTCTGGGAGAGACAAGGGGAGAAAAACTAGTTCAACAACTGTAAAACTTCCATCTTCTTCAATTTTAAAAATATCAAAGATTTTGGGGGTTTTCCTACTGTACATGATATCATTCAAAGAAGTCTGGAGAAATGTCTGTAAAACAGAGACTAGGCTGATAGCTGATACGGCATGGCTGGGATCTTGGTTTAGTTTAGTTAATTTCATTCATTTATCAAGCATAAAAACAAAAAGGGGTAGACAACTTAAATTGTCTACCCCTTGTTACAAGAAATTAATTCAAAAATTAGATAATATGCATCCTAGCAAAGAAGAAATGGAAGTAGAAGAAGAAAAACAACAAACAACAACGCCTATGACTAAAGTGGCATAAAATAAGTTGAAGTAACAGCTGCAGCCCAGCCATCTGCTCATCATCCTAGTAAATTTCTAGGTATGAAACGTTGACATGCTACATGTAGTATACATTAATGTTGTAGTCAAGACTGCACCAACCGAGACCAAGACATTACTGAGACCAGAGAGGACCAAGACCGAGACAAGACCAAGTGTAAGTGCCTACACCAAGACCCTCAAAAAATGGTCTCGAGACCAAGACCGATCTGGAGTACTACAACACTAGTAAACATACACATAAATTTACCAACACATGTCCACATATACACATATAAATACATTAACACCTGTATCTGTATATAAACCCATACAAACAGACACATAAAACACAAAAATACAGAGATCTGACCATGAGAAATAGATTCCAGACCGAAACATTGTTGGATAAACTGAAATCAAATTTGGTGGAGTGGTTTATTTATCTGACTATAGTGAAGGATCCAGATATTTCCTGGCTCAACCATGTGTTTCTCATTTTAGTGACATGTCCCAAAACCACTGACTGAATCACTGAGAAATCTTAAACTGATTTTTATTTCCTCCTGAGGAATGACAGCAATATCTTTGCTAATCCCCTAATTTTTCATTTCCTGACACAGTTGATTCAAAAGGTGAACAGATCCAAGTGGTTTTGGTGATAGTTTATGACCAAATACTTAAAACATAATGTCATACAACACAAATAAGATAAATCTGAGGCGACAGATGCCCTAAACTTAGTTTAGTGTCACGCATTCAAGTGTAAGATATATTCACCAGTGAATCATAGGTCTCAGGCCGCTCCTCAATCTTCCCGGCTTTCTTCATCCTCTCCTTCCTCTTCTTCTCCACAGTGCCGGTTCGATCCAGGAAGGTGTCATCATCGCTGTCATAGTAGTCCTCGTCCTCCCAGTTCTTCTTCTTACGCTTGCGGGAGACTAAAAACAGGACATACGTTTTCATTTAGGTGAATGAAGTGATGCAACATTCTTCCAAATGAAGGGCAGACTGATTATTGATACAGGCTAATTATTGGAGCTGATATTCTGGATTTGTCTGATTATTTGTATCGGCCTCTAGTGCTACAGCCAGCTGATAAGAGTGCTGTGAGTGTGAGAGGAAGAGTTTACTCCTGTGTATGAGGCTGAAAATTTCTGCTTTGATTAAGCATTTGCTAAAGACATTAAAACAGAGTTTTATGCTGGGGTTTGTAATACTTGAAATTTTCTCATTTCTTTATAATTTATTTTGGTTTCAAATATTGTTCATCATTTTTATTAAGTAATAATTGCACAATCTTTGCTCCTAATTGCTCAAAAAAAAGTAAAACAGGACAGAAAGTTGTCCAATGAAAAGTGAAAGATGTTTTTGACTGCCTGCCTGCTGCATATCAGTATGATTTAAGCAGATTTAGTGCTCTAATGTGCATAAAGTCAAAGTCCCATTTCCAACTAGATGTTATGTCACAGATTAGATACACTGTAGCTATTACACCACCTGACTTTAAAAGGCTATGGATTAACTTTTCAATGCAGCTCTTTGTGAACAACTCAGCACTTAGAAGCAAAATGCTTAGATAATTATGACAGTGATGAATTCAATATAAAAAAGAGGAATACCAAATAAAATACCTCTAGCACTGCAAAGTCACACTGGGTTAGAAGTAATGATGTTCAGTTTGTGGCACTTATTCGTGTTGTTTCCTTTTATCTAGGTCTTTGCTTGTGCTATATTATATGAATTATCTTTTATTTAATTATATTTTATCAGTATTATTATTCCTAGTTCCTGCATTTACCTTTTAGCCTCTACTTTTTTTGTCTGGACTTGTTATATCACCTTATTTTTCAGTGTTTCATCAACACTATTGTTTCTCTCCTTTACCTGCTTTTACCTCCGCCTATTTTTTTTTAACTTTTAGTCCTTGAGCCAAGAACCAAAATTTCACATATCGGTACCACCTGGGTGGGCAAATTCTAGTTGTGATTTTTTTATTGCTATACATCCCTACAATAAGTTTTTATATGATAGACCTTGGTAACTGGTAGCTTTATTGTAGTTATCACTCATTGAAGTAATAGAGTGCAGCTGTTCAAAAATGAAAAATCGCCTTCCTTCAAAATTAGCTTTCTTTCATTTTAACCTCTCATTTAGGTGTGTTTGAACTATTGGCTAGCCATAGAGACTTGTATTAATCCCCTAAGTAGTATTTCAAGTAATTTATCTAATACAGGTGTGTATATATAAGCTTCAATTAGCCAATTGTAAGGTCTAAATCAAGGTCTAAATTAAGGATATTTTTTTACTTAGAAGTAGAAGTAAAGTAAATGCAGACTAATAGCATTATAATAACACAACTTTGATATGACACTGACATATTTTCAATGCAGGAACTCAATATACAATCATCCTGGCTGGTGCAGGGCAAGAAGACATTAGCAACAAAATAAGATGTATAGAGTGTATACATCAGTAGATCTTATTTTGTTGCTAATGTCTTCTTGCCCTGCACCAGCCAGGATGATTGTATATTGAGTTCCTGCATTGAAAATATGTCAGTGTCATATTAAAGTTGTGTTATTATAATGCTATTAGTCTGCATTTACTTTACTTCTTCGGTCTTGCAGTTACTATCCTGCAAGTGTGTGAGGACATGCAAACCACCAGACTGCACCTGTCTCAGCAATGGGCTGAAGTGCACAAACCTGTGCAAATTACAAACTTGTGCCAACCAATACAGTGAGGAAGAGCCCCTTGCACACCGGCAGACTCAGATGTAGAAGAAGATACAGATACTGATACTGTCGATTACTGATGTTGATTGATAAATGATGACCAAAAGGAGCTATGTTAACAGACCCACTGTGACTCAGTGACAGTATTATGTACTAAGCCAAAACTTGACAGTCATATTTGCTGTCACTGTTCCTTATGGAAAGAATAGGACTTTGAATAGGAATTTGAGTTTTTCTCAGATGATTGTATAGAGTGTATACATCAGTAGATCTTATTTTGTTGCTAATGTCTTCTTGCCCTGCACCAGCCAGGATGATTGTATATTGAGTTCCTGCATTGAAAATATGTCAGTGTCATATTGAAGTTGTGTTATTATAATGCTATTAGTCTGCATTTACTTTACTTCTACTTCTAAGTAAAAAAATATCCTTAATTTAGACCTTGATTTAGACCTTACAATTGGCTAATTGAAGCTTATATATACACACCTGTATTAGATAAATTACTTGAAATACTACTTAGGGGGTTATTACAAGTCTCTATGGCTAGCCAATAGTTCAAACACTCCTAAATGAGAGGTTAAAATGAAAGAAAGCTAATTTTGAAGGAAGGCGATTTTTCATTTTTGAACAGCTGCACTCTATTACTTCAATGAGTGATAACTACAATAAAGCTACCAGTTACCAAGGTCTATCATATAAAAACTTATTGTAGGGATGTATAGCAATAAAAAAAATCACAACTAGAATTTGCCCACCCAGGTGGTACCGATATGTGAAATTTTGGTTCTTGGCTCAAGTGCTATGATACCTGAAAGTACTGCTCCACCATCAAATTGGGCCACTCCCACTTCATCAACTCATTTAATTAGACACAGGTTTGATTCATTTATAGAAAAGAGCAGTGTGACCCAAAAAGAGTATGACTTTTAATGTGCTTTTGACTGTCTGTGTTGCTTTTGGAGTTAACAAAAATTCGCCTATTGAGGAAAATAACAAAATGAGAAAAAATATAAAAAGCTACCCCTATGAAAAGTCTATCATATTTGAATTTACTTATATTGACCCTAAAAACAATTTAGTTTATGTAAGGTTTTGCCCACCCAAGTGGTACCGACATCTGGTCCGGCTCAAGGACTATTTTCTTTACTGATTCATTTCCTCCTTTATTGTTTTTACTTCCACTTTACTATTTCTTTTCTATTTATTACTTTAATCATCTCATGTCCTCTGTGCTTATGGTCTCAGTTAAGTTCATGGTCTTGGGTTCTTGCGTCTGCCTGTATGTCAAAGCACTTTTTCCAACTCTAATTCCAGGGAGCTTTAGAAATAAAGATGTGATCATTACGATTATGAAAACTCTCAAGGTGAAGCCTCTTAGCACTGTTTTCTTTTCCGTGGCCTGTTATCAGTCATTTTTCAATTTCACTCTTATTCATTATTAATACGTTTTTGATTAATTTGACTCATTGTAGGTTCAGCACTGCTTTTCAGACGCTTAAATATTTAAACACTGAGGAGAAATTAACTTAAACTCAATCTATAATAAATAATACTTCCAGCACGGTATAAAGGCCATTACATGACTGATGTGGGCAAAACCTTGTATGTGTTTTAACTGATGGGGTCGGCATGGTGATGTCAAAGTGGGGTCACCAGCCAAAACCAGCTTGGGACTATTGTCTAAAACTTCTGACGTCACAATGAACACACACCTGCTTCCTGGCGCAGCAGCCCCCTGGCTTCCAGCATCCGACACGCCTCCAGGCAGCACTGCACGGCTGCTTCTTTCTTCTTCCCTGTGTGGGTTACCTCAGCAACCAGCTGTCGGCCCATGGCATCGTCCACTGGAAGCCTGAACAAAAGCATGAACTTGTTTTTTGTAACTCAAACACACAATCTTTCTAAAGGCCAGAAAACAGGCTTTTATAGTTGTGACTTACTTTATCCTGCAGAGCCAGGTGCCGTGACTTTTGTCCTCATACTCAAACTCAAGCTCCTCTCCTGAGATAAAAAAAAAGGTGCCATTGCCGAGTTAGAGGAATTAAAAAAACACAGAAATAAAGAAGCATCAGACAAACATGGACCCCCACCTTCTCTGTCATAGAATCCCTGCAGAGCCTTTTTCGGGTCTTTCAGGTATGCGGCTTCCTGATCCTCATGAAACTCTGTAGAAAAGGGGTTTTCTTCATCCTCTTCTTCCTCTGGGACAGCCTCCTCAGCTGTAAGTTGGAGACAAGGAAACAAGCAAAGGAGACCACAGAGGGATTAACATGTGTGTTTGGCTAATCACTATCAGAGTAAGTTCACAGCAACACAGAAATATGCCCATGCAGATCTCATAAACCTTTGACGCTCACTCATTCCCCACGAACAACCCGAGTCTTCATTGGATTGTTTGCTCTGACTCCTGTTGTCTTGTCCTTCCCCATCTTCCTCCTTGTCCTTCATATCATCATCGTCATCATCAGATCCATCTCCATCTCCCATCATCCTCTTCTCCAGCTCTGCTCGCTGTTTTCTGGCTCGCTCTCTCAGCTCTGTCACCGTCAGCTCAGACTCCTCTTCCTCGTCAAACTTAGGACCCTGGGTCTGATTGCATTTCCATGAAGAAATTATCATAAATGTTGATTTAGATTACACATCAATGGACTGGTCGAGGTCTCACTACAAACAAGTGGCTTCTGGAAGAGAGTGGGTGAGTTGTGTTTGGTCTCTTTGCTAAAGAAATTAGGCAAAGTTAAAAAGATGTTTGATGGCTAGTACAATGGCTGGGACCCTATATGTACTGTTGATGAAGGTTTGCTGTTCTGAGCATTATTTGTGGCTATAGAGTGGCTTTTTGGATGAGGTTTGTTTATGGCTCCTCAGACCGCTGTGTACTGCTATCCTGCGGTCGCTACTTAAGTTGGTATAACTACAGACACAAGCAGTTGGCAACATTCATCTCTCAAGGGTGTTAGGGTGTGTTTGACCCTAACTTAATTTTACACCGGAATATCCCTTTTAGTCATGATCTATTTATTCCCTGTTCTGTTTGTAGTGTATCAGCTGGTTAGTGTACCTATTACCTCTTACTTAGATGAAGCCAATACGGACAACTACTTCTGCTCTAAATGTCTGCTGGGAGTTTTTTTTATCTGACTCACCTGCAGAATAAAAAGCCTCGTGCTCCCTCCAAACTTCAGCACGTGTCCCACGCGCAGCCTGATGTAGGTCTTCGGTGGGATCTTATTCTTGTTCACTACAGTCCCGTGTGTGCTACCCAGGTCGTGGACGTAAAAGCCCCTCTCCTCTCCCACGGACTCCCCCTCCCCGGTCTGGCTGCGGTACTGGATGATGGCATGGTACCTGGAGATGGAGGGATGCTCCAAGGAGACGTCACACACAGGTAAACGTCCGACCACGAAATAACTCCGGTGTGTGAGGGGGACGGTGTCCACTATGGTCCCGTTTTTAAGGATTTCCAAAGCGTAAGAGATCTCTGGAGCTGTGCCACCCCAGGGAGGCTCTGTGTAAGGCAGAGGGGGGAACTTACCTGCCGGGGGACCTTTAGAGGGGACCTGGCGGGGTTTAGCTGCTGGCTTCGCTTTGACAGGAGCCACGGGCTTGTCCTTTTCACTATTTTTATCATCTTCTTCACCCTTTTCAGTGGTTCTGTTTTCTTTAACAGGAGCGGTGGAGTCCTCAGTTGAAGTATCCACAGCTTCGGCTTTGCTTATTTCCGTCACACACTTAGTTTCGGGTCCAGTCGTGTGTTTTGATGGAGCCGCGGAGCCGCGTTTACTGGAGAGGGACGGTGCCGCAAAAAGAGCTGGTATCTTGAAGGTATCTTCTGATTCCAGCTTGGGTTTGTTCGCGTCTTTCTTTTCAGACTCACTTCCATTTTCCTTCGCAGGGCAACCGTCCGTTTCCACACTTGAATCCATTTCTTTGTCGGTGATTCCCTCACACACATCTGACGGCGGGGAAGCGGCCATGTTTGTTTGGTGCAACAGCGAAGTTTGCCCGGGTCTTCTGCGAGTTTATAAAACCAACAAACACAGTTAATTAGCTATAGAGCCCTCCAAAAAGCATTGATTTTTTAAACTCAAAAAAAGATAAAACTGTATTATAGATCAATATGTCCCTGTCAAAACTATTTGCTTACGGCGGAACTTAACATCGTTTTCAGTTATTCACCCGAGCTTTTTACATCGTGTACGAAAAAATCCTAACTTCCTGTTGAGGTAGAGTCGCTGAAATTATCATCGGACGCTTTATTTTCTCCATTAAATGTGAGTTTTATTTGTTTTTCTAACTTAAATACTGAGTAACTATTAATGTTAAAGTTTATTCTAGGCTTCCTGGTCTGTAGTTTGCTTAATTAGAAATGTGGGCGTCTAATCTTGGGATTATAGTCAAATTTAACGCTAGAAAAGCTGTCAAGTTTAATACACAAGTTTATTTTCTTTATTTTAGAAGAATAATACCTATTACACCTCGATGTGATTCTTGATCCGAGGTATTGCAGTTTGTCATTATAACAGGTGTTCATACGTGCTTTACAGAATGTGATCATTTCACATTGGAGGTGGTATTTATGAAGCTCTTAAATCAGGTTAAAGCTGTGTTATACACACCATGCAACACTGATACTCTTAAAATATTAATACACAATTTAATTTTCTCCCATTTTGATTATTTTAACATCCTTTGTTCCTGCTTGAGTCAGTCACTTCTGCACAGTGTACAGTTTTCTATTTTCTATTCTTCTATTTACAGCCAACAGATTATGAACTCAGCCGTCAGTCCCATTTCTCCCCTATTCTTGTATAACTACATTGGCTTCCTGTTAAATTCTGAATTAATTTCAAGATTAAGTTCAACAGTTTGTGCAACAGTGGTACAAGCTGTGAGGCAACCACAGGTGGAGAGAGGAAAGCAGGAAGAGGAGCAGGAAGAGGCGGGTTTGTGTTTTTTCTGCATGTGTCTGAAAAGCTAAGGGACAAAAAAACACAACAAGAGAGAGAGAGAGTGAGGCTTTAATGATCACAAACATGTAGGGGTGCTAACAAGAGAATGAGTTTGCTTCGAATCACAAATAATCACTTTTAACCACTGTGATATGAAAATCAGACAAAGTAATCATGACCATTGTGTTTGCCATATTTGGGCAACCTAATTGCATCATAATTTTTGTATCCTATTGTGTGAGAATGCATTAACATTAAGCACCACTAAGGCAAGTTTGGATATGTGAGATTCAAAACCAGTGAAAACTGCAGCTGCAGTGAAAAGATCTGTAAGGAACTTTTTTGAAACTTTATTGGGTCAAATAAGCATAACATGCAACCTGCAATATCTTTGCACAGGGGGAGACTCCCAGCTGAAGGAAGTCAACCATCGGATTAGTTTTTGAACAGTAGCTCATGAATTGTATTATTTACTACCTATGATGATCATAGACTGTATATAGAATGGGCAGCGTCTGCCTCCTCGCTGGGTGAAGCCACCATAAGAACAGCACCCTCTGGTGGTATAGGTCATAAATCCCGCCTCCTCCAGCAATCCCTATGGAGCTGTGGACAAACTTCAGAAATTAATTTTACAAAATATATTTTTTTCTCCTCCCTGGTTGTGATGTTGACATGTAGTTACTGTAAGACTGGTTTCTGCTCAAGTCCTCTTTTTTTCTGTGCAGCTCTATTTTTAAAAGTTATTAGGGGGTTCATGTTTTCTATGTTTGACACCTGATACAGCCTACGGGCATACGAAGATTGCATAGCTCACCTGGATGATATGCTGTTTGAGTAAAGTGTCGTCACAGCGACTCTAGGCGACTCTCTCGCTGAATGCTTACAATGCCACTGCGCAAGTGGTGGAGTGCATACAATGTTACTGCGCAATGTTGGTTTCAGGAAATGGAGAAAAATTGCGAAAATACCCAGAGCTTTTTCGGCTTCAAATATGTATACTGGTGGAAGGTGGAACGAAAGTTGTCCATAGCATACAGTCTATGGTGATGATGATACTTAATTGTTGTTAAGGTAATTTAGAGCACCCTGCAAATGCAGAATTTTTTTCTTACATTGTTCAAGGCAAGGAGTCTCATTTCTTGTTAGAGTAACCTTAAGAGGGTCATTAATTGAAACTCATCCACCTCCTGAATTTGCAGACTACCTAATCTGAACCTGGTTTGTGCCTCCGACTGTCATCATGATGCGTTACTGGGGTGAGATCCCAGGACCTGCGGGAGCTCCCCCAAGTCGCAGCTCCTTTGACCTGCTCCAGCGTGAGTTCCGCTCCGTGGAGATGCAGGACCCTCCTCTGCATCAGCCGTCAGCCCAGCGTCCGCGGCCCACCACCATGTTAGACATCCCCTCAGAGCCCTGCAGCCTCACCATCCACACGGTGCAGCTGTGCCAGCATGCCCGTCGGCTCCGTGGCCTCCTTGCCGCAGCTCAGGCCCAGGCTCAGGGTCAGAGCTCAGGGGTGTCTGAGGGAGGCAGCAGACTGGAGGAGGCTGATGCAAACCTGCCCCTGCGTCCTCCCACCCCTCCTGTCATGCCAGATGATTTACTACCTGCGGACAGCAAAGCTCCCCGACAGCCCTTTCAGCTTCTTCACAGTGACCCAGAAAGTGACTTTTACAAGTGAGTCAAGCTGTGTCAAAATGTTAGGCTTATCATCCTTGATATTTTTTATGTTTTCATGTACCGTTTAACTCTTTAAAGATATCATACCTTATGTGGCACCCAGTCATCTTCTCTCTCTCTCTATAAATTTTCTCTGTTTTCATCTTTTGTAAGGGGTAAGGGCGAGCCTGTCACAGAGCTGAACTGGCCCTCCTGCAGGCAGCTCCTCTATCAGTCAGTGGCGACTGTCCTGGCCCATGCTGGCTTTGAGTCATCTCAGGAGAGTGTACTAGAGACTCTAACTGACCTGGTTCATGAGCATTACCTGCGGCTCACACGTCTGCTGCGGGTGGCAGTGGACCGGGAGGCTCGGCTGGGAGCCAGTCCTTTTCCAGACGTGGTGGAGCAAGTTTTTCACGAGGTGGGGATAGGCAGCGTGCTGGCCCTGCAGCGCTTTTGGCAAGTGCGGATCAAAGACTATCACAGCTACATGCTGCAGGTAAGAGATAAGGAAAAAGTCACAACTGTTTGTATAACTATGTGACAATTAATATAAGTGTCACAGTTATAGTGTTTTTGAACTTACCCGGACAGATGAATGAAGGATTTAATGTATTCTGAAACGGCTGGTTTCTAGCGCCAAAAACACCAACATTGAATTCAATAGTGCAAAGAAAACACATCAGATCTAGAAATGTAAACTTTTTTTGTTGTATGAAAAATGCTAACTTTAAATTTGATGCTAGCAACATGCTTCAAAAAAAGTTAAGGTAGGGACAACAAAAGACCGGAAAGGTCATGTAATGCTAAAAAAAAAAAAAAAAGAGAGAGAAACTGGAAGAATGTCTCTCAAGTAATAAGCTGAAACTGAAACAAATTAGTTGCATAACTGACATTGAAAAAGGCATTTCAGAGAGGCCGAGTCTTTTTAAAGTAATATAGAAAAAGGTTCACCAGTCTGTGAGAGACTTGGTGAGCAAATCCTTAAACAATTTCAGAATAATGTTCCTGAACAAGGAATTTTAGGATCTCATCATCAACAGGACTCAAAAACATCTAAAAAAAGAGAATCCCTGTGTTGAAGAGACATAACCAAAGTAATACTGGATGGCTGTAATTGCCAGACCTTCAGATGGCATGGCATTGGGAACAAAAAAAGACCATAGCCTACCAACACACATTAAAAAGCAACTTTATGTATTTGTTTTTTGACACTGAATATATTAACATGGGCAAAATGACATAAATATTGATATTGGTACATTTTCGGTTTATTGCCCAGCCCTAATATGATCTGCCTTTCATCTTCACGGATCATGAGACTGATCAGTGCCACTGTTCATTGCTTTAGTACTAAATTCTCTCAACAGTTTGGACTTTGAGTCTGGAAATTCTTCAAATACATATCTTGATCCCACATCTACCAGATATTGTTATTTTGTTGACTCAATGTTTAATAAATCAGCAGATTGAGAATATTTCAATTGTTTTTATTGTTAAAAAAGGAGCTGCCATGCCTTTACTTTCGTAATGTTGAACAATCTTGGTCAATTTAAAGAACTTCAAATGAGTGTAAAGAGAGGTCAGGAACAGACACAGATGTTCTCCATCTTTGAATCCTGACATGAGTGAGAGGCTGGAGTGAGGAGTGCTGTGGAGATCAGGGAGTAAAGCTGATCTAAGTGTCTGTGATGAACTTCATAGACTAATGTTTTCATATTGACCATCTTATATTTACTAGAACTGCACCCTGTCGACAAAAAAGGTTTAAACTGTGTCATAAAGTCCTCTCCATAGTTACTAGATCACTACATCATTCAGACTCTTGTCCCACATGTCTTTGTAAATTGTCCCCCCCCTCAGGTAAGTAAGGATCTGTCAGAGGAATATGAGCGCCTGGTGAACCCAGAGAAAGCTCTGGAGGACTCTAAGCCCCCCAGGATCAAAGAGGAGCCCATGAGTGACATCTCCTTCCCTGTTAGCGAGGAACCCGAGGCTGACTTGGCTTCCGGGGACCAGGCTTTGCCTATGGGGGTCCTTGGGGCTCACGGTGAGAGGCTGGCTTCAGGTCTGGATGGCGAACATTCCCCTCACACCACAGGTAAGAGCAGCACACCTGTTCTGCTTACATCCACCTCTGAATGGGGAAGTGATGGTTTGTTATTCAGAGCTTACTGACACTAGGTGAGGGTCAGTGAGACCGCCTGGGGCTGCCCCCCGAAGTTTTGAAACTTTTTAGACCCTGTGGCTGCATTGTTACTGAAAGCTCTTGCAAGAAACTTGGCAACTTATGCAGACCGGTGGAAATAAAAAAAGCCCAAAATGTTATTCAGACATATGAGACTTGCTTTGGGCTGGTCTCCATAGGCTGTGGAGCTAAATTCTCCCACAAGTCCAGACAGCACTGCCTTAGAGTATACAGACTCTTCAAGTTGAACCCTCAGGGTGCGACGTGCTGTGCACCAACATGAAGTAGTTAAAAGTGCCTCCTGTGGTGATGTAGCATCAGTCAAATGTTAGCAGCACAAAAGAAGGTCAACTTGACTTTTACTAAAAGTTTTCACTCGAAGTGCTGCTGCTTCCCTCAAGATGAACAAAAAATAAGTTTTTATCTTCTCTTATGAGACTTTTCCTTGAGGTTGCTGTGTTTTCGATGTTATATCCATGTGTGAGCAGAAAGTTTTAGAGGCTTTGCTATAAAAGGAAAAGTTAACATGTTTTATCAAGCGGCTCTTCAAAAGCCTGATCGATACGGCTTTGCAGAGGTTCTCAAAAGGCAGCTTTCTTCAACAAATATCGTCTTTAAATATAGATAAAGCAATCCCAGCGTGGACAACCGTCTGCTCAGCTCTAAGGCTCTGCTGTGTGGGCTTTAAAGTTTACAATTCCCTCAGCATTACCTAAAGTTTAAGCCTTTTCTGGCAGGTAAACAGTGTGGGACACCATTTCTAAAACATCCAAATCAGTTTTTATAAAGTTTTACTGCCGCAAGTGCGAAAACAACTTGGAACGCTGTTAAAAGAATGGTGGTAAAAAAAGATTGTGATGGTTTGATATCAAAGCTGAAGTTGAGACATTGATTGTCTCATGAGGAATATCCGCTCAATTTTAATGTCATGTCAGCAACATGTTTCCCAAACATGAGGTATCTTGTTGCGACTTTTGACAACACTCTGCAAATGTTTGGGAGCTGAAGAAACCCGATTCTAGAGGATTTAAAGAGAAGAGTTTTCCTGCTCCTGCCTGATGCAGAATTTCAACTGTGCAGGTTTGATTTCTTTAGTGTTTTTAGGGACATCATGCACCAGATTTTTGTAAAAGGCAACAAGTCAGGGCTGCAGGAAGGCAAGTTTAACACCGAAGCACTTCTGCTACAAAGCCATGTGTGCAGAATGAGGTTTTGCATCTTCTCACTGAATTACGCAGTGCTTCCTCTGAAAAATGTATTGTCTGTAAAGCAGCATATGTTGCTTTAAAATCTGCGTGTTCATTCATGGAGCCTTTACAGATGTGTTAGCTACCTTTGCCATAGACAGCATCCACATCACAGATACTGGTTTTTGGCTGTGTGCAGATGTAGAGCCAAGTGGTCCCTCTCCTCTTAAGAGTGGAGGATGCAGGAACCATGATTTCCAAAAAGAATGTAAAATCCAGATTCCTTCAGCTTTGCTTCAGTCCATTTTGAACCGGACTGGACCCAGGAGTGACCCCCATCTCTGGATAAGCTGTATCTTTTGGATTCAACAATATGCAGTGTTCATTGATGATGGGGTTCTGATGTGATTTTGAGCGTATGCAGTGACTTTTACTGCAGAGTTATGCCTGTTTTAGTGCTGTTTGATGGCCCAACAATCACACCCACTTACAGTTTTCTTTTTTTTTTTTTTTAGTTTCTTCTTTTCCCAGAGATTTCTGCAGATTCTCTGAATCTTTGAGTGATATGATGAACTATAAATTATATTTTCTTTACATAGTACCACAACATTTTTGGGTTAGGGTTTAAGAATAATAATAATAAAAATTATACATTCATTTCTCTCTATCATCAGGTGGGGGCGGGACCAACAACTCCCCCCTGTGGCCACAGGTAAAAATGGAGCCGCAGGATGCAGAGGAAGGCCAGAGTGCCGGCCATCATCATCATCACCACCACCATCACCAAGGCGTCCTGGGTGGAGATGTGTTTGAGGAAGGAGGGCCTATGTCCACCATGAGTGAGTCAGGAGGAGCCATGGCACCCTCTCCTGGAGGTGCAGCATCAGACGGCAGCTACGCTTCACATTCACCTGACTCCTTAATGGGGACCTCACCTGTCTTCAACCAGAGACCAAAGAAACGGGCGAAGAAGATGTGAGGAGCGGACTGAACGGGTCGTCAGACAGACTTATTCCCCTTTATTGAAAAACCATCAACCTGACAGAGGGAGAGAAAGAGAGCGAGAGTGAGATTGGGGGGACACGAAAGCTGTTTTTAAACGGACAGCAGAGAAAAAAACTAAACTGACCAGGAAGGAAGAAACACATTTTGTAGTTTTTGTTATTTTGTATGAGTATAAATTTCTAGAGACCCTGTGGTTCCACAAAGTAAAACTGTCTGATAAAAATATTAAATTGTGTTGAGTGGAAAACAACTTCATTATTTCATGCACACATGACATTATTTCATACAAACAAGTTTTCATCTTGTGCAAAAATAAGATTACTTGTGTGTAAATAACTTTTTGCTAGCACAGATCAAGTTATCTTCTGAGCACAATATACTTATCCTTTGGAAACAAGTTAGTGTCTTTTTTTGTTTGTGGCCTAAGTCAATATTTCATGCCTAAAAGAAATGATCATGTTTGCATGATCCAGTTATCTTGTTGGGACAAGTGTCTAGTGAGCACAAATTATTATCTTGTTCGAACAGGTGTGTGCATATAGTTCAAAAAAGCACCAAATAATTATTTCCTACAAGACGATATTGTTCACATGAGCTGTCATGTGCAGACAAGACATAATCTTGCGCCCACAGTTTAATTCATCTAGTTTTTTAATCTCAAACATAAAGGGCATTTCCTTGTGGGCTCAGCATCATAATCTTGAGTGACCGTAAGTTTACATGCATGTAAGGTAACATTTTGTGCACATGTCAACAGTTTGTTCCCAAAGACTTCAACTTGTCCACAGAAGATCATAATGTCGTGTGCATGTTTTTGTGACTCCCTGGACACCGTAGATTTTTAGAAATCCAAATAGAGGATGGTGTTGTCAATAGAATAAACCTTTTTTGAACAAATTGTTTGCTGTATTCGAATTATGATGTTTGTACACATAGATTTGTAATTTTCCAACCAATTAACCAATAAAAAACTAAGATATCCAAAAGCAAATAATTGAGTTAGACGGCTAAATAATTCAGCGGAGGGTTTGTTTTCCCAAGCTGATTCGTCTGTTTCTCCCCTCATGCTAATAAGTGCCTGATCCTTTCATTATGATGAACAGACGCTCCACAGAAAGAGGACAAACATCTTATTTTCCTCTTGCACATGATGCTGCATGTTATCATGTATTTGGAACATCAACATGGAGAGGAACATACACACACATCTTTACACACACAAACCTGTCAACCTGAACCTGCGCAGCTAAATTGGCATCTGTTTCAGTAATGAGACAAAGCTGTGGATGGAGACAAAGCCGCGGATGCAACGACAGAGACAATTACGGTGTGGCTGTCTGCATCATGAAGGCGGCATCAATCAAAGCTTAATGACAAATTAATTCTGGCATGCATAATTCTGCATGCTAAATAAGCAGGTATGATCCAGTACATGTGATTGGCTTTTGTGTTAGCCTCACAATTAAGCTGGTAATCGCCTATGCCTTTGGGAAGTGCTGATGGGGTCATATGTATTGATACTGAATTAGCTGCATTCAAAGCTGATTAATGTTTTATGCTCCTGAACTATGAATAATTTGTCTGATCTGCAGAGCTGCGGGTGTGAGTGGGAAATGGAGCAGAAGGAAAAAGAAAATCGGTATTCCAGACTTTTGATGTGAGCAATATCTCCTGAATCTCAGGAGTCTGCTTTCAGACTGCACAAAAGTTGTTTTACCAATGAAACATGAGGGATAATTAGTTTAGAAACACACATGCAGCTGTAGGCCCTAATTTTCAGGAAGACCGTTTAGCTGAAGGTACAAACTTTTTACCCGATCACACTGCTTTATAATTGACAATATCAATGATTTCACAGCATCTGAACCAAGAGGGCTGAGGATAAAGAACCATTAAACAAAGTCAAGCTGCAACCATCCGTATTCAAAGTTGAAGGCGATGCAGAAATCCTTAAAATGCAGGCCGCTGAGCACCCACTTAAGGCTGCCTGAAGAAGCACCCGAAACTACATATGCACTGAGCCAAGAAAAAAAAAACATTTTTAATGCAAAATAAACTCAGCTGGTTCAAAGACCAGTTTTGGTCTGGAGAGCTCAGGCATCCGCAGTAGAGTTTCAAGGAGCGAAACCTCTGAAGTACAGCTGACTTGACTGACAAGCGAGCACAGGGTAAAGGCCCCCTGTAAAGGCTCATTTATGATCCCCATACATATGAAAATGTATGTGTCCATTTAAAACTGCCCACATGACGACAACAACAAACAAAAAGAAACATGGCGACTGTGGAGGACCTAGTGATAATGTATGTTTTGCAAAGGAGACAGAGACGAAGGCAGTGTTGGAGGAGGCGGTGGTCGGTCAGGCCACTAAATGCCCCCCTGTTGGAGGACAGAGTATTCTTTTCTCTACTAGTATAGATGAGAGAAACAAACGACAATCGTCATTTTCAGTACTTCAGGATGTCCGCTGGGGCATTCGACAACTTGCTTCGCTGAGTAGTGACAGCAGCAACACTGCCCCCACGGTTTCCGGTGGTACTGCCCCATCTGACCCATATCCGTAAACTTCAAGAAAACATACAGAAATACAGACGAAAAGAATGTGAAGCACGGACGGAAAGCTCCGTCGGTATCCGAATCCGTATGTAACATTGAGCATAAATGAGCCTTAAGGCCGAAAGTTAGGCTGAGCTGACAACCGAACTGGTCTTTGAGGGTCATAACTTGCTGTGGACACCTGTTTCAACCCAAACACCAGCCTTTGTTCCATGTATGAATAATTACTGTGATATGTTTTAATCATAAGTGTTACAACCAACCCTGGTCTCCCCTACATGTTCAAACCACAAATGAAGACATTCTGATTTCACTTACAGCCATGACCAGGGCAAGGAATCAGCGGAACTTAACAGGGACATTATGGAAAATACTACTGGTGATGTAGATGGACATCTGCTGAAAAACTGTTGGTGGACTACGAAGGTTTTAGCCACTTAATTCTACATCAATTGAAACTATTTACACAGGCAAAATGGTTCAAATCGCTTCAGCACATTTGTGATAATTGGAAATTGTAAAACTATGAATGCCTTTAAAAAAAGAGAATATTTTGTCAGGGGTGTTGAATGTGAGCGGTGGTTCTAAATGGAATATTTCTCCTGTTTTCAGCCGCAGAGACTTCCTGAAATTGTGCAACACTGCCACATTTAAAAGGCCTATTATATTCACGCTGGGCCAATGTGACCCCACAGTTTGTCAACAGCTGCTGAGCTGCCGAGAGCTGGGGAGAAAAAGGTGTAATTACAAAAATGTCAAGACGTTTTGTGTGTGTGCGCGTGTGTGTGTGCGCAGGGGTCTCAGAGAAGGGCTGGAGAGCTCCCAGCCTGAGAAAGGACCAACAGATGATTAATCACCTTCCCACGTGAAAAGTCATTAATTTAGCATGAAATTTAATCTCTCCAGCCCAGTTTTAAGTTTGTGCGCAGAATGAGAAATATGTTTAATTTTTACACAATAAGTCTGGAGAGTCCTTGAGGATACAGGTCTGTCAGTTTAGGGAGAAAACCCTGTGTTAAGTGGAAATGAGACACTCAGCTTCAAGTTATCATGAGAGTCCTCAGAGTTTTTCTTTATTTTTATCACACAAGAGAAGCTGTATGTGCGCAATGGAGGCAAATAATGAATTATGAGCCCATGATCGTATCAACAGGAAGATGAATTGCCAGACATACGGGAGGTGACAGGTACAAGAGGTCCCGTGCTTTACATGCTGCCGTTAGAGTCATCTCACAGCACTCAGGAGACGAGAGGACTGACTGCAGGGCGCCACTCTGAATCTGTGGATGGAGATTTTCTCTCTAAAAATAAACATTACAGCAAGAACAGATGCAGTTCTTCTCAGAATCAATCCATTGTCTGATTTATTTTCAAAAATAGGATGAAGAGCAGTTTATAAAATCGATTTTAGATAATGAGACTGTGAGAGGGTCGGTTTATTCAGGCTGTAGATGCACAAAGAGTGTAACGCACATGGTAAAGAGCAATTTTATTTGTCCAAGGAAACATACAGGAGTTTATTCTATGGGTTTCTAACAAGTGGATCTTTGCCTTCATATCAATGCTATAGTCTTAGTTTCAGCCCCAGCTCACAAACATTAGCACCAGGCCAGTTACTTTATTGAAATCGGTGCTGACTTTGTTGCCGAAGTCCAAGTACATCACTGAGGAGAAACAGGACTGCACTTTTGAGCACTTCCATACCTAATATTCTGTGTCTTCCGAGCCAGAAGCTTCACCTATAGGATGGAAATTTTGGAATCACAACTCAAGGGCGCTTGTGTTGTTGTAAAAGTCATAATTAGGGATACAGTTATGCTTACACACTTACCATGGCGACAAAAAATACAGTCCATGGCAATTCAATGCACTACTCGATGGTTTTATCCTACATGGCAAGGGTTGTGCAATGACAGTCCCAGAAATGCAGTCCTGGATTTGCAGCTTTCTGGGTCTGCAGACACATGCTAGTCTTGGTAGTGGCTCCATTTTTCAACCCAAAGGGTTGTTATCTTGGTCCAACCCCTTACTGAAAACACTGTAAACTTTGTAAATTTAAGGGAAAAAGGCAAGAATATAAAGCAGGTACACGTTTGATCACTTTTGATGTTGTGTTTTCCACGTCTATGGTGTTTTTGTGCTTTTTAGTTGAATCTCTGTGTCCAAAGACTTTTTTCTGGTTTGACAATATGAATACTGAACCATTAGACATATGAAGTCATGCTGGAGACCCTGAGTTAAACCTCCAGACAAGCTTTGAACACAGTGATGAAGATTACTCCTCATCTTCAACAATATAAACCTGTTAAACCATTTGATTTGCAGAGTCAAGAGGAACAAGAATTATTTCGTCCATTTAACGGTGACCCATCAGACAGACTTAATTTTCATGAAATATTATCACCAAAACTTGGACTTGCACTCTACTGGAAACTGTATATGACATGTTGAGAATGTGACTGATTCAGCTGCAGTTCATGTACCTCCCATTGGAGGGCAGTCTTGTGCCACACAGAAACTGGAGCTGGACTCTTCTATCCTCTTGAAATGCAGGACTAAGCTTTCTCCCTGTCACCACTGAGACCTGGGCACTCCTGAGAATCTGGAGCAGGCCGTTATTTTATGGCATCAGAATGCAGCAGAGGAGTGGAGTCCAAATGTGACCAAATGAATACATTTCCTCAACACATGGCAGTAATTAACTCGCTGTTGCTTGTGCGTTCATATTTCCCTGAATGTCAGGATCGGGCTGCAGCTGAAAAACAAACCAGACTGCATCATGTGGATATTTCCTGCAGGAATGTCACTGCTGGGATTTCTAATGTCAGTTTTTATTTACACAAGTATTCGATTTGACTGGAAGGTGCCCTTATAGTCATTTTTCGATCCTTGATTGCTTGTCTGTTGCAGCAAGCAGTTATTGAGTTCTGTGTTTTCTCACATCCGCGGGTGTAACCCATCAGGGGATTGTGCCTGCATTTAGCTGCCAGCAAATGCATGAAAATAGCACCACCATTTTCTCATTCCATTCCACCACAATTGATATGGCTGCTGCTAATGTATTTACATCAGGCGCTGAGAGCACTTTAGATGATGGTATTGATATCACAAAGAAGCCCTTAAACCCCCCCAGCAAAATCTCCCATATAGTACATGCTGTGAGTGTTGGTATTCATTAAATCGGCTTCTTCACTTCTAAACGTTGCACAGATTGCTCTCTTTCTCTAGAGTCATTACTGAGTGTGAGAGATGTTGTGCCTTTGACTCATGACTTATCCCTCTACGGAGTACACTCAGTTGGGGTGGTAGTAACTCAATAAAAGGAGTCCTTTGTTGGTGCGGTGGACCACAGTATCAGCTGGGCTCATGGCTGGAGGAATGCCAGATTACTGTCTGATGACCATGGGGGTGCCTTTGAGCGAAGCACCTGACCCTGA